TCTTATAATTTCTATTGTATATATATATATATATATATATATATATATTATATTAGTTCTATGTTTATAAAGAATATATGGGTACTACTACGTTCACAATTAGTTTGAACATCATAGTTGAGAATTTATGCTTTGTAGATAATATAACAACACATGTTATACTTAAAAATAAAAGATATTTTTCTAATTTAATGATGGACGAGGACAATGTTAAATTGTTAATACTATATTTAGTAGTGTCAATTTAATTAAAGGCTCCGAAAGAGAAAATATATTATTAATTGGAGGGATAAATTTGATTATAAATTATGTATTATTCTTTCCTAAGTCTCATAGAAATTTATTGAGCTTCAAAGATATTCGTCTAAATGGATATCATATTGAGAATATATATTGGAGAAATTACTTGTTTTCTCTTCTAGTATTTATCACATAAATATTCAAATTATTGAAATAAATGCTATAGTAAACTAGAAGTTTAATAATTCTTTTATTCTATAGCATGACTAATTGGGTCATCTTAGATTTATTATGATGTAAAAAAATATTAAGAATTCATATGGACATCTATTGAAGAGCCAAAAGATTCTTCAATCTAATGAATTTTCATGTAATGTATATTCTCAAGGCAAATTTATTATTGAACCATCACCAAATAAAATTGAGATTAAATCTCTAGCATTTTTAGAACATATTCAAGGCAATATTTATAGACCAATTCATCCATCATGTGGATCATTTAGATATTTTATGATTTTAATGGATGCATCTACAAAATGATCACATGTATGTTTATTATCAGCTCGAAACCCGACATTTCGATATTGCATGCTCAAATAATTTGATCACGATCATAATTTTCAAATTATAACATTAAAACAATTCGTCTTGAGAATACGAGTAAGTTTATCCCTCATGCATTTAATGATTATTGCATGTCTATTTAAATAAAAGTTGAATAGCTTGTTGCTCATGTTCACACTTATAATGATTTAACATAATTATTTATCAAAATCCTCTAATTGATAGCTAGACCATTATTTATGAAAATAAAACTCTTTGTTTATGTTTAAAAACACGTAATTTTATATGACACGTAATTTTATATGTAGTAATACTTATTCGCATTGGTTTCGATGATGAGCCTAATATTTCTTATTTAAGGATTTGAATATACGAGTATATGTCTTAGTTAGTCCTTCATAACGAACTAAAATGGGTCCTCAAATAAGATTGAAAATATATATTGGATATGAATTCCCTTTTATAATTAAATATCTTGAACCATTAACAAAGAATGTTTTCACAACTCGATTTACTAACTATCATTTTGAAGAAATAGTTTTTCCAACATTAGAGGGAAAGAATAAACAAAATAAGCAATTGAAAATCTTAGAAAAAGAAATTATATGGAATACTTTATCTTTACATCATCTTGATTCTCGCTTAAAACAATATGAACTTGAAGTTCAGAAGATAATTCATTTACAAAGTCTTGCAAACCAACAATCATATGCATTATCCGATCCAAAGAGAGTAATTGAATTGTATGTCCCTACTAAGAATGCTCCAATTAGAATTGATGTCCCTATAGGACAACTATTAATATTATAACATTAATATTTTTACGACTATTATTTCGATGAAATAATTTTTCCAACATTTGGGGGAAAGAATAAACAAAATAAGCAATCGACAATCTTAGAAAAAGGAATTATATGAAATACTTTATCTTTACATCATCTTGATTCTCACTTAAAACAACGTGAACTTGAAGTTCGAGAAGATAATTTATTTACCAAGTCTTGCAAACCAACCGTCGGATGCTTTCTCCGATCCAAAGAGAGTAATTAAATCACATGTCCCTACTGAAAATGCTCCAATTAGAATTGATGTCCATATAGGACAACCTATTAATATTATAACAAATGAATCTAACGCACACTCGAAATATAGAAGATTGATTGGTTCTAAAAATAAAAATCCCAAAAAAAAGAAAATAATCAAAATAAAAATATAAAGGAGGTAGATAAAATGGTCTAAGATACTTTTGATAATAAGCTTCTAGAAAAAGCCTAAATACTTGAGAAAAATAAAAAAAAATTAATAAATTATGTTAATATAGGGAGAAAATAGGAAAAAAAACATTTTTTTGATAATATTTTTGTATGTAATGTTGCAATTAATAAGGATCTTAAGCATAAATATATTGAATAATGTTGACATAAAGATGGTTAGCCTAAATGGAAAGATACAATTCAAACAGAAATAAATTCACTCACGAAACGAGCGAGTTTTTAATTCATAATCAAAACACCCGAAGATGTTAAGCTAGTAGGATACAAATGAGTATTTGTGCAAAAACGAAATAAAAAAGATGAATTTGTAAAATACAAAGCAAGATTTATACCACAAAGATTTTTACAAAGATCTAGCATTGACTATGATGAGATATATTTTATTGTAATGGATGCAATTATATTTCTTTATCTTATTAGCTTGACAACACATAAACAACTTCATATGCATTTAATGGATGTAATCACAACCTATTTATATGGTTCACTCGATAATAATATTTATATGAAAGTCTTGAAAATATTTAAAATGCTCAAAGCATATAAAATGCGTTCTCAAAAGATGTATTCAATTAAATTATAAAGATCTCTATATAGATTGAAACAATTTGGATGCATGTGGTATAATAGTCTTGGTGAGTATTTGTTGAAAAGAGGTTATAAAAATGACATTATTTATCCATGTGTCTATATAAAGAAATCCAAAAAGGAGTTTGTGATATTTGTTATATATGTTAACGATTTAAATATAATTAGAACTCTTAAAAAGATTCTAAGTGTCACGAGTTATTTAAAAAGATAATTTGACATGAAAGACCTTGAAAAAATAAAATTTTATCTTGACTCGTAGTTCAAACACCTAAAGGATGAAATTTTTATTTATTAGTCAAAACATATAGAAAAAGTATTACAACGATTCTATATGGATAAGACTCATCCATTAACTAGACTATTAATAGTTCGTTCACTTGATATTCAAAAAAACCATTTTCAGCCTCGAAAAGATAATGAAGAGTTTTTCGTCTCGAAGTACTATATCTTGGTGCAATTATTGCATTAATGTATCATGCTAATAATATCCGACTCGATATAGCATTTTCTATAAATTCATTAGCAAGATATATGATATAGTTTTGCTACAATACGGAGGCACTTAAATAAAATTAAACATATATTATGTTACCTCTAAGGAACAATTGATATGACCTTATTTTACTCCAATAAATCAAAAACAAAATTAATTGGTTATGTAAATGTAGGTTATTTATTTAATCCACATAAAAATCAATCACAAATTGGTTGTGTTTTTACTTATAGTGATATAGTTATATCATGGTGTTGTATGAAGTAAACCATAGCTCTTATATCTTTAAACCATCATAAATACTAACAATTCATGAGGCAAGTTGATAATGTGTTTAGTTAAGATTAATGACCCATCATATTTAAGAGATATGTATGAAGATAATACTTTTTGCACAATTCAATTTAAATAAGGATATATCAAAGGTGACATAATAAAATATATATCATCGAGATTATTTTGCACACACGGTCTTCAACGGAATGGTGATATTAATGTTTAACAAATTCGATCAAGTGACGATCCAATAGATTTGTTCACTAAGATATTAGCTATCACAACTTTTGAAAATATGATTCACAAGATTGGAATGCATCGTCTTACATATCTTAAATAATGTTTTTAACATAAGGAGCTCAATATGGAGATCAATGTGTATAAAAAATATTGTTATATTTTTCTTTACTAGGTTTTTTCTTGATAAGGTTTTGACGAGGATTGTTCCTTGTACAATAAACATTCAAGAAAGAGTGCTATAAAATAATGAATGTTCACATGCTTTTCATATCCCTACTACTCATAATTCTTAACGTGATTCAATTGATTTAATAATTTATGTATTTTTAATTATTCATAGTTTATTTTAATTTTCTCTCTAATTTTGAAGCTTATAAATAAGCTTGATTGTTCATTAGTTTTAGTAGAAATATTTTGTAAAGATTGAGAGAATTGTTTGAAGTTGTTATCTCTCGTGATCACTTTATTTCACAATAAAATTATTATTCTATTATCTTTTCACCAATCTTTTTTATTATTATTGTAATAATCTTTTGTGATTATAATTATTTTTCACCAAAATAAACAATTTCAAACTTATTTTTTGATTTTTAAAATTAAAGCCTTTTAAATTTAACATTAATTAATTGATATGTAAATATACCATTCAATATATATATATAGTATATATATACTATATATATATAAATGATTGAAAAAGATACGGATAGAAAAGTCATATAAAAATCCTACTAAATATAGCAAATAATAAAAAGGATCAAATAAGTAATTTATAAAAACACAGCATTAAATACTATTTTTGTTATTAGGATATTTTTGTATGATTTATATTTGTATAGTCCTACTCTTATTTTGTTTAGAGTAATTTTGAGGATAAATAGGATCTTTCGTGTCCTAAAGGAAATATAAAATAAAATTATACAAAATTTGAAAAAACAAGAGTAAATTATGGATAACCTATGTTTGGATTGTAAAAAAAAAAAAAAATGATAATAAGTTGGTCCTCGAGGTTTCAGTAATCATAAAACTAGTCCTTATTTTTTAAAATGCATTTTATAACTTAAAGTTTTGTCTCTCTCTTTTTTTTTTTTTTTTTCCCTTGGGAAAAAATCAAAAAGGAAAAGAAAGCAAGAAATAAATAAAAGAGAAGTACGGAAGAAAAAGCAACTTTGGAAACTATATATAAGTTGGGGGGTTAACCAACTTGGTCTAAAAACTTAGAAGGTTCTGTCTCTCGTCCATCGGCGACCTGTCTTGCTTCTCTTTCTCTTCCTACTCCGGCTCTTCTTCAACCCTAAAATATCATTGAAAAATAAAATTCAATGGCATCGAATCCGCAGCAGAAGCGATGCCATTACGAGGTGCTTGGTATATCACGCGACTCGACGTCCGAAGAAATCCGTTCGGCTTACAGGAAGCTGGCTCTCCAGCGCCATCCTGACAAACTTGTTCAATCAGGTTTAAGCCAAGCCGAAGCCACAGCCCAATTTCAAGAGCTTGTTCACGCTTACGAGGTCCTCTCCGACCCTAAAGAACGTGCCTGGTACGATTCTCATCGTTCCCAAATCCTCTTCTCCGATCCCAACTCTGGTAACTCGGTCCCTGACTCGGTCATTCCTAATTTGTTCTCTTTCTTCTCCAACACCGTTTACTCGGGTTATACCGATACCGGAAGAGGTTTTTTTAAGGTTTATTCTGATGTTTTTAATAAGATTTATGCGAATGAGGTTAATTTTTGTAGGAAATTAGGGTTAGGCTTGGATAGTGTTAGGGAGGCTCCGCTGATGGGGAATTTGGAGTGTGATTATGCCCAGGTTTCGGCTTTTTATAAATATTGGCTGGGGTTTTCCACTGTCATGGATTTTTGTTGGGTTGATCAGTATGATGTGATGGCGGGGCCGAATCGGAAATCAAGGAGGGTTATGGAGGAGGAGAATAAGAAGTTGAGGAAGAAGGCGAGGCGAGAGTATAATGAGACGGTGAGGGGATTGGCAGAGTTTGTTAAGAAGAGGGATAAGAGGGTGATTGATATGATGCTTAAGAAGAATGCTGAGATGGAGAGAAAGAAGGAGGAGGAGAAGGAGAGGAAAATGAAGTTGGAGAGGGAGAGACTGGAGAGGTTGAGAGCGTATGAGGAGCCGGAATGGGCCAGGGTGGATGAAGAGGATGTGGATGGAATGGAGGATTTTGAGGAAGGGGAGGATAAGGGGAAGAAGGGGAATGGAGCGAAGGAGTTCTATTGTGTGGTGTGTGGGAAGAAGTTTAAGAGCGAGAAGCAATGGAAGAATCATGAACAGTCGAAGAAGCATAAGGAGAAGGTTGCTGAGTTTAGGGAGTCGTTTCAGGATGAAGATGACGAGAGGGAAGATATTGAGGTGGATGAGCTGGGACAGAATGAGGATGTGGGTTATGATGTGGAGGAGATAGAGGAGAGCTTAAAAGAGGATTTAAAAATACTGCAGGAAAGGAATGGGGATGGGGCTGAGGTTCTGGATTCAAGTGATAAAGAAGATGGGTTTTTCGGTGCTGATGACATGAATGGGATTGATGAGAAGAATGGGGATGTAGAGGATGAGGAGGAGGAGGAGGAAATGAGCGTGCTTGAAGCAATGATGTCAGGGCGCAGGAGTAGGAAAAGTAGGGGTGCAAGGCATATGAATGAGGATTTTCCACAGGAAGTTCCCATTGAGGATGCAAAAGAGGAGGTTGAGGTTATGGAATACGATAACCGGAAGACTAGGAGGAGAAGAGGCAAGAAAGCTAGGGATTGGAAAAATGGTGGTGAAGGTGTTAAGAGTGACATTGATGAAAGCAATATTACTGGTGAAGAAACTAATGGGCATGATGATAAACAAAACGAGGAGTCTGCTTCTAATTCTTTTGTTGAGAATGAGGATGATTGTAGAAATGTTGATCATTTGGTGAATAATGGTAAGAGCTTAAACCAATCTACCAACAAGAAAGGGGCTGCTAAGAAGGAAGAAAACGTCAAATCAAAGAACTCTTCTAAAGCTAAAGGCAAGAAAGGGAAGGTGAGACGTTAATTTTGTACGTTTTCTCATTCGTTAATTTTCTTTCAGGTGTTGTGATTGTACTTCTTACTATTCTTGTTTCAAAACAACTTTTTATAATTCCTAATTATCACTCTTACTCACACCAAGAACTAAGAAGTGGAATTATGGACTAGTGCCTTGAGTATTGTTTATCTTCCTACCAAAACTATATTGATTGAAATATATTTATTGAGATCCAAGTTGGTGATATACTAGTGGTTTCATTCTTATGAAGTACAAAATTTCTTAGTTTCAGATGCTGTACTTACAAATTATTCTGTCAGCTTTGGCTTTGGGTTGTCTAATCATATGAGCTGTATTCTAACCCAGGCAATGTCAAAAGATTCTGGCAATGTGTGCGATACATGTGGAGTGGAATTTGGATCAAGGTCTGTGTGACTCATTTCTCATTTGCTATGTTATTTTTTTTAGTTCTCTGGTTTGTTTGTTCTCCTTTTTACCTTCCCCCATTTTACAGAGAAATCCTTACTGTATCCTTTTTTCATGGCAGGAATAAATTACATAAGCATTTGGGTGATACTGGTCATGCTACCCTGAAATTTCGATGAGGGAAAGTTTTCTAGCCCTTGTAATTTATTGTTACATACCATAATTAAAGAGATATTTGGAATTATTCATGCAAGGAGCCTGTAAGAGGTTTATGCAACAGCTTGCCATTGTTTTCTGAACAAGAGCAAGATATAGACCTCTTTGGTTCCAGGTATTAACCACTCTTCTTTTATTCGCTTCGGGGTTTTAACCTTTCCTAGAATAACTTTTCTTTGGTTTTATTGGGGCCTTTGTCTGTTTCTTTATCTTTCAAATTGAGGGTCGATATCCGTTCCTCGTCATTTTATTTATAAGGATTTTGTAACACATTTTTTTTTCTTCATATTTTATGTCTTTGATAGCCCCTTCTTTTTTCTTTTGTTTTCTGTTTGGTAGCTGATACTCTTGAAGATGATTGAGCATGCATGCTGATGTTGTATAGTTTATTAATATAATTGTGATTATTCATTGAGAATTCTTACTTAACCGAAAGGGAGAAATTTACTAGAAAAAGCCTAGCTTCTAGATGGGTCTAAACGTTTTCCATAACAGAGACATTTACATAATGTATAGTATAGGATTCTGGAAACGTCTAAACAGCACAAGAGCAGGGTGGCCAATTTCTATTGCAGTTTTGTGATGGGCATATGTTCAGTAGTTTATGAGAAACAATATGTATAGCCTTGCTAGGTGAAGTGTAGTTTGGAGAAGGAACTATGTTACTGCTTCAACTTTCTATGCCCACCAACTCTTACTACTTAAAAAGAAAGAAAGCACAGAAGTGATTGCAACAGCAAAGTATGCCTATGCTCCCAGTAAGCATCATTAACAAACAACCATAGGATTTAATTGAAAGCATGGCCCTTAACAGAGTACAATGGTAAAGTATGATCATGCAACCTTTTGTGGAGTGTAGCTAAGACAGTGGTTGCGTTGATAACTAAGTTCTTTACTATGTGGAAGAATTTCCTATAAAATGGATTTATCGATTCATTACCTGGAGCACAAATTTGTGATTTGTAAGTCTATACTCGATTTTTTTCCTCTCTTTTTATGTGAACTCTATGCACTATGTTATTCTATAGGAAATCCATGGACCATGATCTAGCAGTTGTTTAGTGGAGAGGGCATCCCTGAGGCAGGATTGAAAAACTATGATAACTGAATTTTTCTATAGTTGAACTTGGAGAACTCTATGATGACTTTCATTATTAGCATAACTATGTTCAGTCCAATGTCTTGAAGCATGTGAAATCTGTTTTTTTTTTTTTTTTTCCAGTCAAACTTTGCACAGCTTTTAATGTGGCTTATTGATTCTGGGAGTCAAATTTTGTTCTGATAATGGCCTTACTACCCAGGTTGATAATTTTCTAGGGCATATTGTAGGTAGAAACATAGTAGTTGAACTCTGTACTAGACTGCCTTGAACGTTTGAAGTGGTCAATGATTTTAAAGTTGCATGTGTCCTCTAACGCATCCATAATTTTTCAGGCAAGAGAGGAGGCAAGCAGATCCCCTCTAGATTAGGACACCAGAATGAGATTTGGTATTGGTGCAAAAGAGGCATTGCTTTTGTGTCCATGTAAAGAAAATTCGTTCATGGCAACTTAAAATCCTCAAAACATTTTTCTCAACTGTTGCCCGTATGCCTGCATCTCTGATCTTGGTTTAGCGACTGTAATGTGCCCTATCAATTGCTCATATCGTTGGTCATCATCCTCCAAAAGCAACACATGTGGAAAGCAGCATAACCTTCTGATCTACAACTTCAGAAAGGTATTATTGGAGGTTCTCACTGAAAAATCCCCATTCAAACAGCTGGTAGTTAGGAGATTATCTACTTAGTCAGTATGTTCATTCAGTTTTTAGGGAGGAGTGGATGGCTGATGTGTTCAATCTTGCGCTAATGAAGTATCTAAATATCCAGGAAAAGATGGTGGAGATGTTTTAGGTAACAATGTCTTAATTGGTGAGGATGCCAAATCAAAGACATAAAATGACAGTTGTGTTGAAAATGATAAAGAATGCTTTTATTTAATCTATTTTTGGAGTGTGTGTATGGTTTTTGCTGGAGCAAGTTTACCTAAGAAATATAATTTCTTTTGTTATAGATAAATGATTGAATAAAAATTCTATGCATATTCAGTTTTGTTGATGTTATTGAGTGTTTAGTTCTGGCAAAAATTGAAGGAAAGGAAAAGATGCTACAAAGGAACCTTTTTTCTATGAATCCTGGTGATGATACTGTGAGTGCAATACTTCGAAAAATGGCAAGTGAACATGCGAAGTCTTCATAGAATGATAGCCAAGCCCTCCAATGCTTCACATGGGGTCACCATTCATATGAATTGTCCAAGAATTTTATGCTTCTCTTGAAAGTTGGCTTCTATACTTGTTTGGCAATCTTGAAACAGCAGGGGATGCTGTGGGTCTAATGCTTCCAGCTGGTTGGACATTAGTGTAAATATTAATAATAATAATAATAATAACAATAAAGGGGAAAACGTGAAGGAACTGCTGATGAAAAATATATAGATGAGGAGGAGGCATGCAGCCGTTGCTGTTACTAAAGGGGAGCAAAATCACCATCTCTTTTCTTTTTTTCCCAACTCTGTAAAACCCTCTGTTCTGCCACGAGTATCTCATGTGAAAGGATAGAGGGTTAGAATGATACCCAGTGGGTACGTAATAATATGAATAGCAAAACAGGATAATTGGGGCAAAAAAACAAGGTTCTAATGAAATTTTCTACCTGTGAACTATTCCAGTCGTGGTATATTGAGATTTGTATTATTAATTTAGTCTTTTTGTTTTTTAAATATTATGTCTTGAGTAAATATTATTATTATTCTATTTGTTTGTTGACCATTATTATTGATCAAATTTTTTTATTAAAAAGCTTCTAGCTCAATGGTAGTAGTCTTTTTCAATAAATTCTAACAAACTAGTTCTGCTAGAAGTCTTAAATACTTAAGTTAAAAAAATAAAAAATTGATCAAATTTTCCTTTTAAAAAATTATTTTTTTTGATATTTCGTAGGCACGCACGAATAATATATATATATTGAATTTTTATGATTTAGAAAATAAAAACAATAATCTCCAAATTCAAAAACTTTTTGAAATTATTTGTGAAAATTGATTAAATTTTCCTGGACGTATATGAAAATTTCAACTTAAAATATAAAAAATTACACCTTTTTAAAAAAAGTTTTTGGTCAATGATAAAGAGTCAAATCAAACTGAGAGACAATATTTTTTTTCAAAACATCGAAAGTTAAAGGATAAAATTTATCAAATTATTGAACAAGTCTCAAAATACCATAAGCTCAAGCAAAAACATAAATAAATAATCAAAGTGCCTTGTGTTGATAATGGTTAACTGTGTCTCTACTCTCTACAATTCCATCACCATTTTGGAATAAAATGAAACATCTTAAGAAAACTATTACACAGTAAAATGCAGAGCACAAAGGATGCAGTGCGTATGTTCATTCTAGCTCCCTTCTTAACTCTTCTCACCATGGTGATCTGAAATCTTTGATGCTATGGCTCAGCCATTGTTCAAATCCTCACAGAGTGCTACATTTATATTTCCAGCATGTCTGCAACATGAAAATTGAAGTGATTATTATTTACTGGAACCGGATTTCATGACACGACAGAATCGTTTTCAGCTTATTAGAAAACGCAAGGTAACCACAAATGGCAAGCAGCTTTTGATATGTAGCATAGAATTCCAAAGCAGGAAAAAGCAAATCCATAAATGACAGAAACTTCCAACCAGAAGCAGCCATAATATACGTGTAGAAAAAAATATCAAAATGTGCTCCAGAAATCTAAAAACTGTCTCTCCTTGAAACACTCTTTCACTGAAATTGAGTCCATAACAAATTAAATTGAGATAATTGAACAATTTGTTTATCGAACAACACATGCATAATAAGTGCAAATGAATAATCATGGATAGAGTTTCTTAAGAAAAGAATACAACAACACAAATACAAAATGTTCTTTTCAACTTGAATCCAGTATCCCCCATTTCCCTATTTGGCATCTAGCATCCTAGCATCCTGATACAATAACATTCACAGCAAAGTTAAAATCTAAAACCTACAGTATCAATAAATTGAAAGAAGGCTCCAAAATTCTATATCAGTGGATAAAGAAACCAATAAGAAGAATCTTCTCAAAGAGCAAAAAAATTAAAGAGAGAGACGAATCCCTCATAACTAGATGAGATACCACGTTACCAATTTTTTACAGCAATTATTTTTCTCATCAATGTATATTGGCCCCGATTACCCAGAGCTTCACTGGTTGCTTGTAATCATTGAATTACCGCATCCCACCATGGTACATATGTAGTGCCCAAAGAGAATCCTACTTCCACGTCAAAGTCTACATTCTTAATTAAACTAGCCCATCAATCATATCTCTTCCACAAGCTAATCTCTGTGTATTCTCCTAACTCTCACACAATCAACCTACCCCTTTTTGCCATTTTTTCCACAAACCAATCTCCACCATTAAGTATCACCTTCATTTCACCTCAAAGGCAGTTTGCCATTTTACACAATGATCAAAATAACATTCCTCCTCCAACTCCAGCCATGAACTGTCAGAAACAAACTGCTGACAAGAAAATCCGGTAATAGCTTCAGTTTTCGACCACTGATTGCAATCAAAATCATACTTTTCTGCCTAATCAACCTTAAAAATCAAATTACATTCTTCCACCTTAAAGGTCCTTTAGAAGTGAAGGTTTTCATAATTTCAGCTCACTATCAAGTTAAAATACATCTAGATTTAGGATATTTTGCTACTGTACCATACTTCCTAGCTTAAGAAACCTGAAAAGATGGCCCCTTTTATCCAAAACTTCTTCTCGTTAGTTTAAGTTGAAAATTCATCTCCTCCTATAGTTCATTCCATGACAGTACAGATTTCATAATATAAACAAAGTGGAGTACAAAAAGCATGCTGCTAGTTGCGTTTATCAGTTCAAATAGAATCCCAACATACTTTCATTGTCAATGTATATGTAAAAACAAGTTAACGTGTCCAGACATACACTTTACAGTCACGCGACTCATGTCTCGTGCATTGTATATTAGGGGCCACAAATATACGAAGATTTTGAGGGTTAAACGATGGAGCACTAAAGAAGTTTATACTGGATTGGGTTACACAGAAAGCTTGAGGTATTATTCATTTTGTTATATATATATATAATGTCTCACCTAGCGCCCAAAATAACTTGGCACGTATCCAATGCCAGCCTGAGACCTTGCCGCTGATGCAGAAGGTTGACTCAACTGGGAACTTTGATAAGCACCCAACCCCTGCAAAGCAGCCTGAGAATTATAACTACCAATCATACTGGAGCTTATAGTATTAACTCCATGCTGTGTGGTAAATCCTGCACCCAATCCAATAGGAGCAACAGCATTTCCAACCCTGCTCAGCGACTGTGAAACCCCACCAGAAAACGAAGGATTCAAACCCCCTGATTCAGCATTCCACCTGCACCAACACCAATACCTAGACCCAGCACTGGATCCAAAACCCCCAATGCAGGATTCTGCCCCAACAAAACTGAACCTGTAGGATTCACATTCTGTCCCACCATTCCCTGATTCAACAAACCCTGAAATCCAATATTACCTTGCACAACTCCTGCATTGCCACCAGCACCAGCACTCGCTGCCTCCACAACAGTAGCTTTATTACTACTACTGCTACTACTATTATTCTTACTAGAAATTGAACAATGCAACTTTATACCTTCAAAAACCTTAACAGGCTCTTCTAATGCCTTCCTAATCCCCTCTAAACTCTTATAAACAATAAAGGCAAAACCCCTAAACTTCCCAGTATTTCTTTCAAAACCCGACGGCCCATCTTCAATTTCTCCAAACTGAGCAAAAAATGCTCTAAGATTCTCCACACTAATCTGCGGACCCACATTCCTTATAAACAATTTCCTCACACTAATATCACTATTGTCCTGCTTCTGATTCTGCCCATTTCCTATAGACGCTAATTGACACGAAACCGTTCGATTCCCCACCTTCTTTTGTGGTTCTTTAAGCGCTTTCCGAGCGGCAATTCGCGTTTTAAAGAGAATAAAACCATATCCTTTTGCTCGACCGGTGGTCTTATCAGTCACAACCTTGCATTCCTCAATTTCACCGTATTGTTTGAAAACTGAGATAATGGTTTCGTTGTTGGCATCCCAAGCGAGTCCGTGAATGAAGATTTTGCGGTGGACTGGGTCCGAATCGACGGTATTGAAGATTTCTGTGGCGACAGAAGGGTTAGTGGAGGCTGCTTCTTTGAGGATTTTGATTAGTAGTTCTTTAGTAAAGGGTTGTAAGAGTTTGTTTACGGTTTCTCGTTTAGAATCTTCGCTTTCTTCTTCTTCGGATTCTGATTCTGAATTCTCTTCCTCTTCTTCTTCGGATCCTGAATCTTCTGAATCTGTTTCTGAAGGAGAACTGTTGTTGGTCTGGTTATCTGATTCTTCTTCTTCTTCTTCTTCTTCTTCTTCGGATTCTGAAGGAGGTGCCGGCGGCGGCTTTTCAATTTTGGGTTGTTTAGAAGATGATGATTTTTGGGATGTGGAAGTGGACTTCCGCTTCTTGGCCATTATTGTTACTGTTTTTTCTAAGAGATAGCTGGAAGGAAAGGAGGGGTTTAGGATTTGGAGAAGACGATTACGCTGGGCTAGGTTTATGGGACCGCTTCGGCTTGCTAAGATTATTTTCCGAGACAGCCCATGTGGATTTCAAGCCAAGTTTAATATTTTGCCCATTATTTTCTTTTCAGATTATAACATATTCGGTGTATGCACTTTTTTATTTTTTTATTCGAGTATCCCAAATTTTATTTTTCCTATTTAAGTATATGAATTTTCAAATATTTTGTAATCAATCTTTATATTCATGCTGATATAATCATTAAATCGGCAAGCCCATGGAAACATTAATATTTTGTTTTTTTTTAATTGAGTACCTATACTTTTATTTTTTTCTATTTAAGTAAATATACTTTTTTTCTATTGAATGTATGTATTTTTTAAAAATTAACCACGATTGCTATTAATTTTGAATCTAACAAATATCCCGTTTGTAATCTTGTATAAGCCATGTTTTGATTAAGTTTAGGAAAATTAAAAATTAAAATAACAAAAAAATAATAATTTATTCAATTTAAAAGAAAACAATAATAAAATATCACTTGTCAAAAAAGAATAAGAAGAAATTAGATTATTCAATTTTCTCTACTTTTTCACAAACCAAACAAATTTTCACCACTAATTTTAAAATGTAAAAAAGATTAAAAAATTTATCTCGCAATACAATTGATTTTTTTAATACAATTTTATATATTTTAATTTCTCAACAAAATCTTTAATCACTCCTGCACACATATATTTCTTTACCAATCTCCATCAAAGTCTTACAGTTTTTTGTTGGTTTATTTACTTTTATTTTATTATTTTTTTACCTAGTCAATTACGGTCAGCAAAAATTCACTCTTTTTTTTATGTCTTTTGTTATTATGTTAATTAATGTAAATAAACTTTCATCTGTATTATTGTTTTAATTTTTAATGTTAGTTAATTTGATCAAAATATGGTCTATAGAAGATTGAAATGAAGATTGAAAAGTGGATGTTCATTAGATTTTAAAATTCATAGCACTTGTTGAATTTTTTTTGAAAATACAAATACTCAAATAAAAAAATATATGTACATTCAAGTACAAAAAAATGAAAATATATATACTTGATAAGAAATAAATTAAAATATTCATACTCACTTTGCAGGGAGGTCAATATGCTAACGTATCAATTTAATGTCTGGGTTAGTATGAATCTAACAAAAATACCTAATTAAAAAAAAAAGTGAAAGTTTTCCTACTTAAATAAAAAAAATAAAAAATTCACACATCAAATATATAATAATCTCCCTTTTTTTTTTGGAATTTAGGAATTTTGATGTAGGGCCAATGTTCTGTTTGAGTATCAATTTATTTTATTTATTTATTTTTATTTTTTGAAGCTGGGAGATTATATTTATATTTGGGATAATTAAAATATTAGTACATCAAATTTATATTTTTTTCTATTGAATATATGAATTTTAATTTTTTTATTTAAGTACACCGATTTTTTCAAAACATTCAATCAAATACTTTTATTCAATTCATTTCACTCGTCCGTTATCTAATAACATGTCTTTTGACTCGACTCATGATTGAAACACCAACTTTCACTTTATCTTAATCAAGTATGTGAATTTTAATCTATCTCGTTTTAATACATTGAATTTTTTGATTGTGCAATTAGATACTTTTATTAATTTTTTTATTTTCCAAATGTGGGTATTTTTAGTATAAGTACCCTTCAAAAATATATTATTTGACGAATGATATTATTTTAAATTAAAATAAATATATTTAAAAAAGAAAACTCTTTGAATTAATGGTGAGCTATCTACATCCAGATGATCAAAATATATGTTATGATTGATAAAATAAATAAATTATTGATACAATTTTTAAATATTTATTATTTTAACCAAATAAAGAAATATCATTTTATTGCAAAAAAATGAAAAACTTAATACATAAAAGTTCTAGATTGGCACAATTGAAAATATTGGGTATCAAAAAAAAAAAAACAACTTAAGTTCATGTACTTGATTGAGTAAAGGTGAATTGTTGGTATACCAAAATTATATATTTTTTAAGTAGAGATCAAAAACATATCACCAAACAACGAGGCATTTGAAATAAATTAAACGAAAATACTTGATTGGAATTTTTTTTTAATTATTAAACTTATACATAAAAATTTAAATCTATGTATTCGATTGAGAAAAAGTGTAAAATAAATATATTAATAGTATAATTATCTCATTTCTTTCTTTCCTGTAAGGTTTTAAGTGATCTTTCCTAACCAAATACGTGTATTAATTTTTTTTATTACAATCTTTTTTTCACTTAGTTATAGAAAAATCGTACTCGTTTTCATATTTTAATATTTAATACGAAATACCGTTTTCAATGTCTTTTAATATTTTTAAAAGATTAAAAGAATATATAGATATGTATAGTTTATCCATTGTGTATTTAGTAATTTCTTTTAATGAAATGCATATAACTCTAATTTTTTTTAGCTATTACGTAACAGGAGAGAGGTACTTCTATTACACAGCTCGAGGCTCTTTAGGCCTTTCAGTAAAATAAAATAAAATTACAACTTAATTGGATATAACATTATATGTATAAAATTGGATGTCAGCATTCTTTTTTCTTTGGATTTTTTGAAGGCATTAAATATTAGCTATCCAATCCTCGTAGCATGGCAAGAAAACAAATACTAAGAGATAAAAAATGGTAGAGATAAAAATGTTATTCACCAATCACTGTGAAATAAATCTCAAAACTGAATAATTATGATTAATCAACTTCCCTCAAACACAGCTAGAAGTTCAAGCTCAGAATGCCATCAGCATAAAAAATCCAACTAGACAAAAATTTCATTTTCTAGCAATTAATTTAGAAGTTCTGCGCATAGATGGTCCTTATGCTTTTCAAATTAGTTTAATTGAGACCTTTTTTTTTTTTTTTTTTTGTATCGACTGATTCTCCTGATTCTTCATTTTATTTTGTTTTCATCCCTCTGTTATAATGCTATTAGTTTATAAGTTTACTTGACACGTCATTTTTTATTGATTGAGTCTCTTTTATTTTATTTTACAAATTTATACCTTTATTATTTATTATCCAAGCAGCTAAATGGTATAAACATACGTTAACTATTAGTTCTGTTTTAATTAACACTTTTATATTTCTTTTTATTTTAACACTCAACTATACGTTTTGTATTAAAATCCTTCTATTATATTTCGTCACTATTCGTAACAAAACCATCACAAAATAAAAGTTTTGACTTATACAAATTTATTTTTATTAATCTTAAATCCAATTATTATAAGATTTAATATTTTAAATTTCAAATTTAACAATTAGAATTCAATTTTTTTTTTATAGTTTTGATTGAATTCAAATGAGTTTTGATATTGAAATGTTGTTTGGGATGTTGAAAAGATTAGGAGGAAAAAAAAAAAAAAACAGAAACATGAGTTCATGTTTTCTTATAAAGTTGGTTTCACATAAATTAATTTAGACCAATCCAAAGCAGCGGGGTAACAAAGTTGGCGGCGAGACGGGACTAGGCCAGAAAATCTCTTGGAAATGAGTTAACAAATATAGTTGGGGTGTCACTGAATAATATCTCACGAGAATGAGTAATAAAAATAAAGAGTGATCCAAAGTTCCATCTATACCTCACTCAGTGACACAGCTAGAAAATAAAGTTCGTCGTAAAGTTCCTGATAACATTGACAGTTACTTGGTTTCTTGGACAAAATTCAAGAATATTTCAAGTCTTGACAGATAGAGAAGGCAATAAAGGCACCACAACAGACAGTACTTTGTACATAGAACAGCTTCGTCGAGAAAAGTGCCAAATTTCAAATGTTTTCCTGACAAAGTTTCGTCCGAAAAAGCTCGTCAACTGTGCCGTGGTCTTAAAAGGTGTTTCCGACGAGAATTGGTTTTTTATAGATTTGTTATAACATAACATCACGAATTTAATATTTTTTAAATTATTTTAATAATGTTTTTTTCAATATTATTCATGTGAATTAAGTTTTTAATAATCATATTAACACTCATAATTTTTTTGATTTAAATATAATAATATATCATAAATGTCATGTAAAATTATACGCGATTTATTTGATGAATGAACTCTCTAATTATGAATTATATGTTTATTATTTTCAAACCTAATTATAAAGTTCCTAACTCTTAAATCAAACATTCCTCGTTAATTCTTATTCTACGGCACAATTAAAAAGGTGTCATGTTTGTGATTATCTCAAATATAGAGAAGAAGAGCTTTGATAAGAGAGACAGTGGGTAAAGGATGAGAGAGATGAGTTCATCATCTATGCAGAAGGATGAGAGAGATGAGTTCATCATCTATGCAGGTGTTGTAAAAGGTATTTCCAACGAAAAAAAATTGGTTTTTTATAAGTTTATTTTGACATAAAATCATAAATTTAATTTTTTAAATTATTTTAACAATAATTTTTCAATATTTAATAAAATAAAGTATGAATTAAATTTTTGATAATTATATTAACATGCGTAAATTTTATCAATTTAAATTTTATTTTCAATTGATATTATGTGGTAAATAAAATAACAGCATGTAATAAATACAAATTAACTCCTTAATTATAAACTACCCATCTATCATTCTCAAACCCAAGTATAAAATTCCTAATCCTCAAATCAAACATCCACCAGTAATTCTTTTGTACGACCAAATTAAAAAAACAAGTGTCATGTTCGTGATTCGTCTCGAAGGTAGAGGAGAAGACCTTTGATAAGAGAGTGGGTGGGTAAAGGATGAGAGAGATGAGTATGTTTTACACCGGGAAATTTCAAAAAGCATGCCTGTTGGGCTTCAATTTCTAGTCCCGACGAATATATTTTGAAATTTAAACAGTTTACCGGACGAAATTTCATCTTAAAAGGCCGCGGGCAGGAAATAAACAGGCGCGTCGTTCAGTTAGTAACATTCCTGACGGAAATTCATCAGAAAATATCTTTTCCTACACAGAAAGTCGTTCCATCATCAAAAAGCGTGGGGGAAAACCTAAACCTGTTGTATTGAAGGGCTCTTTTATCTTTATGTGGATGGTCAAATTTAGGTCCATCCTGCTTTGGGAATGCTAAAAGCTTTGAAGGGGCATGTCCAGGCACTGGAGATCCAATCATCTGCCTTGTTCAGTCGATCCAGGGAAGGCAAATTGGTTAATTTGGTTCAATTAAACTCATATGCAGAGTTGCTTGGACATGAAGGCCAATATTTAAATTTGGTGTAGGCTTCTTCTAAGAAATTGGCATTAGAAGCACTGCACACACGCTTTTCCTTGTGAAAAAGTTCTTCTTTTCTCGTATCAAGACTAAGATCTATATCTCCAATACAAAAAAATTATCCTTTTATAAACACAGATCAGAATCATCATCTACAACTATAACATCGTTGATTAACTCTTCCAATTAAAAAAACATTGTCGATTACAGATGGGCAATATTGCTTAATCCTCGAGCTCCTTACAGAAAATTGAAACTGCTATTTACGTTAATTAATTAATCAAAAGTCTTAGAATATATAGACAAATAATTACAGGGAATTACAAAGAAGCAATCTACTATATAATCAAGTATATGAAAGCTTCATCTTCTTACTATGGACACAACCACCCGCCAGCACTGGTTGCGTAACCTTGTAAACATGATTAATTGACCTAAACCTTTTGTTCCTTCTCTTGGGATACCCATCATCATCTTTCTCACCAAAAATATTATCTTCTTCTTCTTCTTCTTCAAAGAAGGTATAACCTGCATGCTCATTGCTCGCATCACTCTGGCATGAACTTCGCTCTGCTTCATCATTCTTCTTGTTTTTTATCACCTTCAGCTTCCGCTTGTTATCCCTGCTGCTCATCTGTACTAGTTGCCAAGCCACGTCTATCTCTAACTCTGAGAAGCCCATAATCATCTTCTGGGTCTTTTTATCTTTGCATGACAGTGGAAATTTTGCCATCGTATTTTATAGTCTGAGAGGGAGAGAGAGCTGGAGAAGGAGAGAGGGATGCTTGGGCTTGGAGATTTGGTCTTGCCTTGTGTATTTATAGGGAAAGAGACGGACAATGGCGTGTCTTACCAGGAATGGATGAAGGGAAAATTGCACTATAAGTACCTTAAGTTTTGACGTTTTTTAAATTGAGTACGAGAGTTGTAATTTTTTCATTAGAGTATATTAATTTTTTTAAAACTAGAAATTAAGTACTTTTCAGTCAATATTTGTTAATTACTATATTATTTAATGATGTAATTTGTTCTATACTACTAAATTATGATTTTAAACTCTTATTTTTTGTTAGAGAACTTTCTCTCTCACATTATTTTGACTTCTTCTTCTTTTTAGATCTAAGATTAATTTGAGTATTTACTATACAAAAAGGTAAAAAATAGCAAAACAATATGAAAAAAAAGTTCTCCAAAAAAAAAATCATAATTTAATAATTTAAATTGAAGGATATGTTATCAACTAACTGAATAATTGATAGAAATTAGACAAAAAAAATACTTAATTGTAATTTTGAAAAAAATTAATATATTATAATAAAAAATTAAACTTCATGTACTTGATTGAAAAACTATTAAAAATTAATATACTTATATTGCGATAAGTTTTAAGTCGGTTAAGCAGAAGGATGTTTAATGCTTCGTATTTTTTTCCTTTTGCGGCATGCTATTCCTAATCCGAATAAGGATTAGGATTTAGCCACAAAATAACTCTGCGATTGAGTTTGATTTGTGAATGATTAAATTTAAATTATTTTATGTGAAATTTAACTTTTGACTTTAAATCAATGTCTAATTTACCTTTTATTCACGGTAAAAGAATCTCTTTTTATTACTGAAAAAAAAAACCAGTTAACTTCAAACATGAAATATAATTTATTTTTTCTTTTTGTGTAATTCAAAAAGAAAAAAAATAACTAAAATATAAATTAAATCTCAGTCAACTCTAATTTTACAATTTCCTAAAACTATAAGGATTGTTCACTCTCACCCTTCAAAAAATCAAAACATTCTTCAATTTCCATATTTCCTGTGACCTAAAGAACTTCAAATACCTTTCTTAGATACTAAATCTTCAAATTACTGATATCCTTAACCAAATATTTTGTTTGATGGTGTGGGTATTACATGGTGCTGTGCGGTCACCATACAAACTACCACTAAGCAAAAACACCACCTTTCTGCCTCCCTCATCCACAGCAGCTTTTAGCATTTCCGGGACAAATTGCTAACTTTCAAACCATTATAAGGTTTCACAACTTGTATCGTCGATTGCAAACCATTATAAAGCTCTCTCACTACCAAGCTAACTATTCACCAAGTAACTCAAATATAACAAGTGCAAACTAGATGTTATGTGTAAAATGTTTAATAAGCAAGTAGGATACAATTACCGAGTTGTGGTCCTATTTCTACCCTCAAAAGTTCATGAAGAGGAAAATGAATTATGAGTGCATGAGTGCACTTTGAGAATAATCATCTTCTGCATGAAATAAAGGCACCAAAAACTAAGCCCTGAACATACAACCACATAGTACCGTGGCGGGAATATATTGTATGACACATACATGAAAGAAACAGCTGCATAAGTTTTATATGAAAGTATGAATGAAAGATTGAACAGACAGAAACTCTTACAAAATGATACTGTCACCAAGATGTCTTCGGGCCAATTTAACCAGGTGATGAAGATAAGCTTTGTCATCTCCATATGAACCAAACTCATTTTCAATCTGCAAGATAACAGCTTTCATTGAAAATTACAGTATAAAACATCTGAAAGTATGCAATCAATTTGGCATTAAAATCAAGACATATGATCTAATAAATGACTAAAACATCTGCGAGATGATTCCGAAAACTTTGATAATTTTTGGACAATCTTAGAGGAAAATATACGTCCAAACGGCTAGCAAAACCCTTCTGTCTATCTCAGGCACTTAGGCAGACTTGGATTCTACAAAGGAACGTGATCGAGGAAGGCCATTCTATATTCCCTTATCTTCTCATTTTTTTGGTTGAGCTATTATCTCCATCAGGTGGACCAGAAATGAGACCAGAAAAAAACTACACTACTTTGATAATAAAGGACTGGGATGGTAACATCACTCATGTATCTACTTCTCCGGGAAATGAAAATGAATGCAAGGGAGATGCGTTCTAGAAAGCCTCAACTCTATCGAACTCGTGGTTTGCCTCACTTGTACAACTGTTGCAGTTAAACAGACTTGGAGCCAACCAGTGTTAAATGGCACACCGCCAGTTACCGAGAGATAGCCACACTTGTACAACTGTTGGTGACAATCTGTATGTGTTTGGGGGTACTGATGGGATGAACCCTCTCAAAGATCTGCATATCTTAGATACTTGTGAGTGATCCTGTCATTAATTTCTTTTCCATTTCATTTTCCCTGTATGGCATTCCCTTGTCTTTTGCATGGCCATTGATTTACATATCTTAAGTGTCATAAAGCAATACTTTTTTTATGCTGAAATAGACTGGTCATGAAAGAGTATCTAAGAAATGATATTTAACATAATTGTTTGTCATACTTATGGTCCCGGCAACTCTTATGAGGATTTGTATTGAATGGTATTGCTTGCATTTCTGATTTTGGGTTGTCCCTACTTTTGAACCCAGTTCATGCCATAGCAAGACAGGGAGGATATAGGGCTCTAGAGCAAGCAGAAATCAAGTGGCTCTCTCAAAAGGCCGACGTCTTGTTGCTGGAAGTTCTTGTAGGCAGATCTCCTTCACAGTACACCTCACGTCCTCACCAAGACGCCCACGCATTGAGGACGAGGAACAGGCAGTAATCTTCCTAAGTGAGTCAGATCAGTTGTCAAGGAAAAGTGGATGTCAGAAGTATTTGTTTTTTTGAATAAATAAAAACAAAATTTTTTTAAAAAATATCTTAATTGAGGATATTCATATGTTAAAAATTTTTCTAGTAATTATAATTTTGAATTATGAGAGCATTTAAGCTTTAAAAAATTAGAATAAAAATAAAAATTAAAAAAAAAGACAGAGAAATCAAGACAGGGAGTAGATCTTCCTAAGCGAGTCAGATCAGTTGTCAAGTAAAAATGGACATAAAAAGTATTTGTTTTTTTGAATAAATAAAAACAAAAAATTTTAAAAAAGTACCTTAAATGAGGAAATTCATATGTTATAATTTTTTTAGTAATTATAATTTTGAACTATGAGAACATTTAAACTTTAAAAAATTAGAATAAAGATAAAAAAAAATGAAAAAAGTCTAAGTTAATTTTTTTTATTATTTTATTATTTTTTTAATTATTATATTAAATATATAGATGTCGACTTTTTATAAATAATATTGAAAGCATTTTATTTTGAAAAACATGGATTACAAATTACCCTATTTAGGGAACAAACCCCAGAAAGTCGTTCGATCACCCAAAAAACGCCGGGGAAAACCTAAACCTTTTGTAGTGAGGGGCTTGGACGAGAGAGAGACAATTAGCCAACTCTTTTATCTTTAGGTGGATAGTCAAATTAGGTCCGTCCTGCTTTGGGGATGCTAAAAGCTTTTGAAATGGCATGTCAAGGCATTGGATGTCCAATCATCTGCCCTATTCAGTCGATCTAGGGCTGGCAAATTGGGCATAGGTTAATTTGAGTTCAATTACAGAGTTGCTTGGACATGAAGGCCAATATTTAAATTTGGTGGAGGCTCCTTCTAAGAAGTTGGCATTAGAAGCACTACACGCACGCTTTTAATTCCAAGTGAAAAAGTTTTTTCTCGTATCAAGACTAAGATCTACATCTCCAATAAAAACAAATTATCCTTTTATAAACACAGATCAGAATCATCCTCTACAACTATAACATCGTTGATTAACTATTCCGATTAAAAAAACATTGTCGATTACAGAATGGGCAATATTACTTAATCCTCAAGCTCCTTAAGAGGGTCCTAGGAAGAATCCAAAAAATTGAATCTGCTATTTACGTTAATTAATTAATCAAAAGTCTTAGAATATATAGACAAGTAATTACAGGTAATTAGAAAGAAGCAATCTCCCATATAATCAAGTTCATGAAAGCTTCATCTTCTTACTATGGACACAACCACGCGCCAGCACTGGTTGCGTAACCTTGTAAACATGATTAATTGACCTAAATCTTTTGTTCCTTCTCTTGGGATACCCATCATCATCTTTCTCACCAAAAATATTATCTTCTTCTTCTTCTTCAAAGAAGGTATAACCTGCATGCTCATTGCTCGCATCACTCTGGCATGAACTTCGCTCTGCTTCATCATTCTTCTTGTTTTTTATCACCTTCAGCTTCCGCTTGTTATCCCTGCTGCTCATCTGTACTAGTTGCCAAGCCACGTCTATCTCTACCTCTGAGAAGCCCATAATCATCTTCTGGGTCGTTTTATCTTTGCATGACAGTGGAAATTTTGCCATCGTATTTTATTGTCTGAGAGAGAGAGAGAGAGAGAGAGCAGGAGAAGGAGAGAGGGATGCTTGGGCTTGGAGATTTGGTCTGGTCTTGTGTATTTATATGAGAAGGAGACAGACAAATAGCGTGTCTTCCTAGGAATGGATGAAGGGAAAATTGCACTATAAGTACCTTAAGTTTTGACATTTTTTAAATTGAGTACGAGAGTTGTAATTTTTTTTAATTCTAGTATATTAATTTTTTTAATTAACAATCAAGTACTTTTCATTCAATATTTGTTAATTGTTATATTATTTAATGATGTAATTTGTCCTATACTACTAAATTATGATTTTAAACTCTTATTTTTTTTAGACAACTTTCTCTCTCACATTATTTTGACTTCTTTTTTTGGATCTTAGGATAATTTGAGTATTTATTATATAGAAAAGTAAAAAATAGAAAAAACAAATTAAAAAAAAGTTCTCCAAAAATAAAAAGATAAAATCATAATTTAATAATTTAAATTGAAGGATATTTTATCAAATAACCTAGTAACCGATAGAAATTGGACCAAAAAAAAATTACTTGATTGTAATTTTTTTAAAAAATATATCTTTAAATAAAAAAACTAAACTTCATGTACTTAATTGAAAAATGTTAAAAATTTATATACTTATAGTGCAATAAGTTATAAGTCGGTTAAGCAAAAGGATGTTTAATGCTTCATTTTTTTTCCTTTTGCGGCATACTATTCCTAATCCGAATAGGATTAGGATTTAGCCACAAAATAACTCTGCGATGGAGTTTGATTTGTGAATGATTAAATTTAAATTATTTTATGTGGAATTTAACTTTTGACTTTAAATCAATGTCTAATTTACCTTTTATTCACGATAAAAGAATCATTTTTTATTACTGAAAAAAAAAACCAGTTAACTTGAAACATGAACTATAATTTTTTTTCTTTTTTGGTATAATTCAAAAAGAAAAACAATAACTAAAATATAAATTAAATCTCAATCAACTCTAATTTTACAATTTCCTGAAACTATAAGGATTGTTCACTCTCACCTTTTAAAAAATCAAAACATTCTTCAATTTCCATATTTCCTGTGACCTAAAGAACTCCAAATACCTTTCCTAGATACTAAATCTTCAAATTACTGATATCCTTAACCAAATATTTTGTTTGATGGTGTGGTGCTGTGCGGTCACCATACAAACTACCACTAAGCAAAGACACCACCTTTCTGCCTCCCTCATCCACAGCAGCTTTTAGCATTTCCGGGACAAATTGCTAACTTTCAAACCATTATAATGTTTCACAACTCGTATCATAAACGCAAGCTAACCTCTTAAGAGATTGGTCGTCATGGTTCCATTAACAAAAATAAAAAGAGAAAATTCAAGTGTCAAAAGAGACTTCAACTATTTAGGCTCTATCAGAAAGATTTCCCCTCCCGCCATACATGGTTGAAGTTTGCTCAGACACTGTATAATATATGTAACAAAGAAAAAAATGTTCATAATAACCCAAAAATTTGATTTGCCATGAAGCAACTCTAACTGATTATTCCACCTAAACATATTTCCCAGCCTAAAGCTGCCCACAAATTCACAAATCAATGACGCTGAGAGCATGCAGTCCTTCCAAGTTATGTTGATCATCCCCGTTAAGAAATATAAAGTCTTCATGCTCTTTACCATATGAAATTGTCTTTGCAAAATCATCTGCTCTGTCACAGTCATCCTCATCATCATTCTCGTCGGCTTCATCATAGTCATCCTCATCATTGGTCTCCACACCATTGTCATCCTCATCTACAAACCTAGAAGCCCCATTAATGCTTTGTACACCACAATCATCTGAATATCCTACAAGTTGATTAGCTTCCTTTCGTTCATCCTCTGTCTTGGCCAGAGATAGAAGAATGTTCTGTGCCTTCTGGTCAGGAAGGACCCCACAATGCTCCATTTCCTTGTACCATATAACAGCGCTGCCAAAATCCTTGTTCTTACCGTATGCATCCATTATTGTAGTGAAAATTGTTTGGTTTGCTTTGATACCATTTAAGTGCATTTCTTCATATTTTTCCATCATTTTCTCAAGAATATTTACCTTAGCATACCCTTTGATCAATGCCCCATAAGTGACGATGTTGGGTTTTAGTCCATCTTGTCTGAGTCTTTTGAAGAATTTTTCAGCACCCTCCATATCAGAAGCATTCACATATGCTGATAACATTGTTGTATAAGAGCAGAGATCTGGGGTGCATCTGCATCGAATGAAGACAAAAGGTATGCCATTTTCAATAAAAAGTTTGACTACCGTTCCACTTGTCAAAGCAGAAGTACTGGCAGTACATGTGCTACTAAACCTACTTAACAAAATCTGTTTGTGTATGCATGTGATTGGTCTATTACAGTGACTGAACTCGCTAGAGCGGCATCCTTTTGGCCCAAAATATAGCAGTGTAACCTTACAATAAATGGTTCTATTCCAAGGTAAGTGTGTGGAAAAAGGTGCTACATAGAAGAGTAGTGAAAATATGGTATCCCAGCATCCTGGGGCTGATTTATATGTTATCTAGATTGCTTAAACAGAATTCCCAAGCAATAAGATAGGTTCAAGGTGAAATCTTCGTAGGCTGAAAACACATTTTCTTCCCTTGATTAACCTGAGTTTTGAGAAATAACCTTGCTATTTTTGTTTCAGATTAGGAAATATTACCTATCTCTTCTCATGCTTTTGAAAACCACCCGAGCTTGCTCCACCATTCCAGAGATGGCAAATGCATCAAGCAAAATGTTATAAGCTTTATGGCTTTGCCTACAACAGATAAGATGACAGCTCAGTAACTTGCACCATTAACAATATGCTATCAAATTTACAATATTATCTAGCTGTCGAACAATAAGCTCCAGACTTGTCTTGCAAAAATAACCACAAAAATTTGAAACAGAAATCTGAAACTTGAAGAAACTTCTATCTAATGCATGAAGCTGACAAAAAGGTTTAATCTGCGTACAATAAGATGTATTAGGCTAATAGAAGATCTTTTCAACCTTTTTTTATTCCTAGTTGAAGTTCACTAAATAATTGTTAATGCATGTGTTAGGTTGGCCTCATATCTAGTATCTAAAGGAAAGTTTCACCTAATGCAAAACATCTTTAACCTGCATAAACCATAATAGCTTCTATGAATAATGTTGAAAACTTGATTAATAATGAGAAGATCTTTTTGAGGACTTGAGTTTCTTTAATTTCTTGTTGGTGGTTATGTACATGCATTTGTGTCTGCATTTGTCAGCAGGACATGCGGAGGATTTGTCAGGTCTCTATAGCACCAGAAACATAGAAAATTGACATGATAAGTTGACTTCGTTTGTTTAGTGCTTGGATAAAGAATATGAGCAAAGAAGGCCCCAATCAATACATTATATATTTGTTCAATGGTAGAAAATTTCAACTAGCACAATTGTCAAGATAGAACTCAAACCATGTGTATATCACATCATTGCAGAAAAAAAAAACTTGTATTTTCTACTCACCTGACACCCGCATCCAGCATCTCTTCAAAAACAGCTAAAGCTTCTTCTTCCCTCCGAGCTTTCCCATAAGCTTTAATGAGTAACGCATAGCTCACCACATCAGGTCGAAGGCCAGACCTTTGCATCTAAAATTATGCATTTACTTCAAAATCTGGTAAGTTTATTATCAACCGGAGATTAAAAAAAAAGGCAAAGTGGAAATACTAAATAATAGAAAAATCCAACCCTTAGGACCCACAGAAAACATTTAAGACTGTTTTGGCATGTCTAAAAAGGTGGATAGTTGCATCCATGCAAAACCAAAAAAAAAAGTTCTTCACTCTAGCTGCATGGTAAAATGTTCATCACATGAAACTTATGGTTGGTAGTTTCCATAAGCAAAATAAACCAACTTGTTGTTGACGGAGGAACAAATTTTCTCTGTTGCCTATCACATAAGAGCCCCATAACTTATACTATCCCAGTCATGATTAGTAGCCTGATATTCCCACACACCTAGCAAGGATACGCTGTACCTTATACTGTTTGATGAAAGAATGCTTCGTTTTTTTTCCATTCCTTTTTTAACATCAACGTTCAAACAATTAGGATAAGACAAATCCTTATGGTGGATTAGCTTTTATTTTCTCCTAATAAAAATATAAATAAATAAGCACTTGAAAAGTTTTGCACTTCTGTTAGAATGCTGAGTATTCAAACTGTTAAGCTGTAAAACTACCAAAAAATTCGCCCAGACCGGATTGAAAATGACCTCAAGAACAAGGCCACTGGACAAGAATGCATATGACAAATCAAGTCTTGAGAAATTCCTTTTTTCCTTTTACTTCTAAACTAGCATACTGAAAGATTATTGATCCTCTCATTAATGAACAGTGTCCAAGAGTATTGGCATTATTGAATGTAACCAAAGATTTAATCATATGGTCAAAATACACATCAATTTTTTGAATCCAAGAATATGAAATATGATATTCAAATATTACCTGGTCATAGATCTTTGAAACCTCCTTGTAATTGGTTTCAAATGACATTAGACTGTTATAAGTAACAGTGGACTGCGGAACTCCTCGCTCAGCCATCAGTACAAATAGCTTACGAGCCTTTTCATAATTCCCAGCCTTTTTATGCATATATATCATCATGTGGAACATTTTCTGATCTGGTTCCAAAGGTGATTTTTCCCTATTCAGAAGAGTCTCAAAAACTTCCTCAGCTTCCTTAAATTTGCTTCCCTAGATTAAAATCCAGAAGAAAATCACTCAACTGTAAGATGTATCAAACCAAGGCATACACTTTGAGATTGCAAATGAAAAGGATAACCTTAGAAAAATGAACAAAATGATGTTAGCCTGTCATGCAAGACTAGGACAAGTCATGGACAACAATCTCACTGTAAAAAATAATACAGACGTAGCTACAGAAGAAATTTAATAGCAAACATGAAACAATGAGTGCAAACTTTTGTTACTTCTAGAACATCAAATGCTAATGATCAAATTCTCTATAGTTCTGACCTATTTCATGATTCAAGAAAGAAGTTAAATAATTTAGCTGTTAAGTTAGCCTTATATTTCTTGCGACATTGTGATTTCCTAGATCATTGTCTCACAAGATACTTACATAACTTTATTATTTAATGAGTTTGGTAGAATTACAGTTGGATCACAAAGTCTGATTTGGATATCAAACTCACAAATAAGTCGAATAATATTGATTTCAAGGACCATATTTGGACTATGATCCCATCCAAACCATCACAAGCAAACACGGATGCACATAAATGCATGCTGACATATGTTGCACACATGCACATTGACATGCATATTATTATTTGCTTTAAGAAGGTGTACTACCTCAACAAATGTTTTGAGTATTATTTGATACGTCAAAGCAGAGGGTTCAGGGCCTGAAGACTGCATCCTCCGAAAGATGGCTTCAGCATTGTTATACCGGCCTCCTCTTCCATATGCCTCCATAAGTGCAGTGTGTGATACAACATTTGGCACATAACCCTTCCCATTCATTAATCTCAAGACCTTTTCAGCCCCATTGAAGTCTCCTTGCTTTCCATAAGCAGTTATGAGCATAAGGAAATCCATTTCATTGAAGTCCCACCAATGTTGTGACTGAAGCCATTCTAGAATCTAGCAGATAAAGTAGATTAGCATGTGACACACACGGTCAAAACATCCAAATGATAGAAACACTTGCAGGGATGAGCTTAGGACAGCAAAATATTTTGTCCTTTGCAGAAAAATTGCATACAACATTCCTTACAACCAAATCTGTGAATACCCTACAGTGCTAAATAATTATAATAATTTTTCCTTCCAAGAGAGTGGAACAGTCAAGATAATCTACTGAAACAACAGCTGTCCTATGTCTTTAAGAACCCAATTGATCTGTTTGCACCAGGGTTACATACATCCCAATCTTTATGAGTAGGATTTTTCAAGCTATACTTTGATTTAACTACAATTTATAATTCTTAAGAAATGATTGACCACTGAACCCTGAAATGTACTGTAATTCAGTCACAACTATTTTGATTTAGGATTCATCATTTAAACCTCACTTTATAAATGATCAAAATCATTTTAATGTAGCAGTCATCTCTATGAATTTACAACAAAAAGTAATAGCTCCTTTATTGCATACCTCACTGACAAGGCTCCATTTCTTTAGCTGCTTAAACCTAACCAATGTTCCCAAAACCAGGTCTCTAGGAAGGGCATCATTCTTGATTCTTTCCCTTCTAAGCACTGAAACTGCAGAACCCGTATCGTCAATTTGCTTCATCAGTCTCCTCCAATTCTTCTGATCAGCTTCATCTGCTGCATCTTTGAATACTTCCACTTTCTTTCTCTTCTGCAAAAACTTTCGAGGAGACAGCATACCCATCGCTACTACCTCTAATCTTCTATGGATTTTAATGTTTGCATTGAAAGGATTAACATGCATTTTTGGCTGGCTGAAACATAAAACAATATACAAGCATTGTTATCTCTCTACTACGAAAAGAAACCTCGAAAAAATAGACCCATCCTATAATTTTGCTATAGTCCAGCTGTTTTAGAAACAACAATCAAAGATGCACCACGCAACCCAGAAATTATTTTAAGCAATAGAATTAGTTGATACAAATATCAAGAAGCAACACAATTACAGATGAAGAGAAACCATTTTGCAAAGACAAACAACACAAATCATCACATGAACTGACCACGACATGCCATGTGATATCATGCAGCATAATCTAATTCCCACCACAAAGTACTTCGGGGTAAAATTTTCTTTATTTTCCATGGAAACAAACAAGCACAAGCTAAGAATTCAAAAATTCAAAATTTTCACTCACTTCTGCTTTCCTTGTGCGTTAAATTTAAAAGGGTCAGTTTCAAAACCAAAAAGAACTACTTTGTTTCTTTCTTGCTATGGATAAGACTAGAAGAAGCCAAAATTGAGACAGGAAGAGGGGGAGGGAGAACAGACCTCCAATTACTAGAAGAAGCAGAAATACAGGGCTTAAGAAATAGTGCTGGAGCCATTTGCACACGATATTTTAAGCTTCCTCAGCTAAATATTTAATGCCACACCCAACTAGGAACTTTGCTCAGTTTTTCTTCTTCGTCTTCTATCTTTCCATTCTATCTATCTGTAAAATATCTGTAAGCGGAGTCTTGAGTTGTGTCTTTACAAGTGCTTCATTTTTATTTTTATTTCCAATAATACCCTTTAATTTTTGTTTCAGCCATTTGTAATAATATTTGTTGCAAGTTTAGAGTTTAGACCCCAAAGACAGATAGATTTACTATCATGAATGAATTCTTTTTACATTTCAGCTTGGAGAATAAATATTAATTCTATATAATTATTAAATTTTATCATAAATCTCATACTTAAAAAATATAAATAATCCAAATCTAAATTAAATAATAAATTTATTTTAAAAAATCAATTATTCAAAACTGCGTATGATTAAATACCAAAAATAATATATATAATCGGATTTTGGTTTTTGCAAAGAGTGGGAGTATGTTCTCTGCCTCCCAATCCTATTTGTTAAAATGCCCTTCATATTAACTCCATCGGATAGAGTTGTGTCGAGTCTTCGTTGAGAAGGATAATTTCACCATCTTATTTATTATTTGGATTTTTTTTTAAAAAAAAAAACTATGACAAAATATACATTTTTATTTTTTTGCGAATACATCCATTTAGGTACGGATGTCTATTTAAGACTCTTAAAATAAAAAATATATTCTTAGTAATCGAAAATTGAATTCCAAAATATCAAAAAAAAAAAAAACCCTAATATCAATTTTTTTAGTAAAAGAAACATCAAGCTAAGAAATATATAAAGCAGTAATATGGAAATAGCTTTTCTTTTCTTCTTCTTTTTTTTCTTCAACATTAGTTGTCTCCCTTTTTCATATTTTTCTATGGATGGAGTACGATACTATCAATTTTTTATTATTTGACATAAAGGATATATTCAATCCAAACTAGTGTGTTGGTCAAACTAAAACTCCTCCTCAAATAATTTTAATAATAAATTTCCATTTATTGGTTTTTTTTTTATTTGATAATAAAGGATATATTCAATCCAAACTTGTGTATTGATCAACCTAAAACTCCCCCTCCGATAATTTTTATATTGGCTTAGTGTATGTAAGGAAATTTAAAAAAAAAAAAAAAACTATTCTAAGACTCTATATTTATATTAAATCGGCAAATTAAACCCTCTATAAAGAATTTAGCAAATCCAACCCTATGTTTGTTACATCTACGCAATTCAATTAAACTGCCATCGATTCTCAGCAAGCATCCAAAAACTTATTGGCGTGGAAAACATCAGCCACATAGCATAGAATCTTAACTCTAAGAAGCCCTACCTTGATATTTTAAAAAATCATTTTCAAAATTTAAAATAATAATTATAAAATTGATGTGGGATTTATTCGTGACTCTCTTCCAATCTCACACCTTATATTGTATAATTTAGAAAAATATAAATAGAAGGAACCTAATTTTATTTTAGACTCTTTTACTTAATAAAAATATACTTTCCTTTATAAACCTAGTTTTTTTAATGTTTGTTAAATTAATGGTAGTTGGGTTGAATTATCTAAATGTAATGAATATAGGGACGAATTCATAAAATTATTTGTATATAGTTTAGTTTCTAATTTGATACAAGGTGTCAAAATAGGGATTTTCCAAATACTTACTTTAAGGTTCGTAATAAAAAATAAATAAAGAAAGGTTTTTTTAAAAAAAAACTATTTTCAAGTTCCAACATTTTCATTTGCACCTATTGGCAGGATTGCAAAGCCCATCTGTGCTTCCAATAAAAGATCCGATTCTATTATAGTACCAAACCTAGACCATCAGAGCCCATCTTATATCAGTCCAGTCCAGTCCATACCAGTCCAGCCACCTCATTCCTTTTCAAACTGTTAAACTCTAAATTTAGGGTTTTACATAATAAACTGTTTCTTTTCTTCCAACACAATCGGTTGAGCTTTAGCAAAAGACAACAAAGACCAATTGTTTTCTACTCACACACTTTATTCTCTACTTCCACACCAACACTCGCCTAAAAAACCTTCCATGTTGTGACAAAAAACCCTGGAAACAGCTAAATAACGAACAACTTTTGCTCCTTTCCACTCACTGTATAAAAAACACAACAACACACGCTCGCAGCTGCTGTGCCTTCTCTTCCCCTTTCCTTTCCCCTTTCCACTCCCTCACTCGCTTCCTTCATTCCCTTCCCCTTTCACCCCTCGTTATCTCAACAATTACAACTTTGCCACTGTGCAGTTCTTCCTTCTTCTCTCTTTAATCAGGGATTTTAATTACCGTGATCGCGTGAGAGAGAGAGAGTAGTGTTATGGTGATGGCGGAGAATGAGAGTGCAGATGATCAAAAGAGTAGTAGTATGGTCGGACCGAAGTCGCCGTGGAAGACTCCGGTGGTCGCTGATGCTCCGGTGATGGGCGCCGCTGAGTCTTGGCCTGCTCTTTCTGATGCTCAGCAACAACAACGGTTGAAGCTGACTGATTCTGCTTCTAAGTCGCCGCCGCCGTCAGTAATGGTGGCTGGTGGTGGTGACACGGCTGCGCCACCGGAAGCTTCGCCTCGGGTATAACTAGTTTTTTTTTGTATTTGTTTATGTTAAATGAATGAATTTAATGTAAATTTTATTTATTTTATTTTTTTTTGTGGGAAAGAAAGGAAGTGTTAATAGAAAAGTTATTAAAAATGTTTTTTTTTAGTAAAAATGAAGTTATAATTATGCGGTGAAATGTTTTTGAGCTTATTGTGGATTGAAAAAAAATATTAAGTAAAGAAGCTTTTGAATTCATCTAAGACATTCGTGTCAATAGTACAAATTTATAGTGAAAATTAGGCTTTTAAATTATAGAGGGAAAAGCTGAGATGACATCAATCAATGATATTGAAATCTGTAGGTGAAGAGAAAGGTGTGAATTTGACTACTACTAGCAGTTTGAATAAAGATAAAGACATGTTTTTGGTTTTGGTGTCGGGGATTCTAATGGGATATTTTTATATAGGAGTGAGAGATTTGATCAATTAGTGAAAACCGGTGGTGGATCATTGATTTTTGGTACTTTTTAAAATTATTTGTGTATGAATGTGTATTTGATGCTACTTCTGTCCAGAAATAAATCTATAGCATCATGCTTCAAAATGAAGTAAATCTAACATTAGTAATCAAAATGTTGCAGTAAAACATTGTATATAAATGTATGTTATCTCTATATTTAGACAGTACCAGAGTTTTGAGCATGGACTATTGATAATTACTCTACAAAATGGTATCCTCAATGCTGTCATTGTGGAGGTTTTCTTATGGCGTATAGTAATTTGAATTGTTGAAAAAGAAGGCCATGATGCTTCATTTTGCTTTTTCCAGTTTGTTGCTTCGTGAAAGAAGAACATAGGTTTACTTGCTGAATTAGGAAACAATTTACTGGGTTCAGTTTTGCTGAAAATTGGATTAAAAAACCTGGCTTCCTGAGAAAACAATTCAGTAGCACATTTCCGTTTCTTGGAAACTTTCTGAAAAATTGACAAGTCTTGCGTAGATAAACATGAGCTAAATCATTTTACTGCTGTTTTACGTTTGGTGTTGTGACATAACTAACTGGAAAATTATCAGGTGTTTTTGCTTTTTTGTTGTAAGGTGTATTATGTTTGGTGTTAGGATGTAATTAATAGAGCTAGAGTTTCATAAACCTAACATATAGGCAGATATCTTTAATGATGCCAAAAGGTCCAAAACAGGGTTACTGATGTTCCTATATAATCTTGTTTTGCCTGCAAAAGCACAGTTAGAAAGCTGGCTGTTTTTTGGGATCAAGCATAGTAATGCAACAAGTTTTAAGGTTGTTATGAAAATGCAGTTTCAAAGATCAATTATTTCCCTTCCTGCAGCTTGTTTGTGAAGTTGTACCAATCTTATGCCAATGGTTCTCTTTCTGATGAACAAATTGCTTAATGTGCTTAATTGGAAAGTGAAATATCATTTTTGCCCTATTTATGGTTTGTTCAGGGATCGGCTGGGCAGCAGAAGTCACATGGATCAGGAAACACAAATGCATCAAATAAATATTCATCATCAAGACATCAAAAATCAGGATCTAAGCGTAATCCTAATGGAGCACCTCCCTTCCCTGCATCATTCCCTTACCAGCAACCACCCATGCCATCAGTTTTCCCTGCTATGGTACCTCCACCACACTTTGCTGTTTCTGGTTATGCATATCAACCTGGCCATCCACCTTTTCCCCCAGTTGAAACTCATTTGGTAAAGTCTGGATCAGAGACCTCCCCTATGCAACCTTTTGTTCCACCTGTAAATGTCCAGCCTCCACCAAGAGGGGATCCCAATGCTTATGCTGTTAACTTTCCCAATCGAAGACCTAATGTGCAAGAATCTGGTGGTCATTTGAATCAAGCATGGCATCATCAACGAGCTTTTGGGCCCAGAGATAACATCCCAGTGCAGCAGGGTATGGGACCAAGGCCATTGGTAAGGCCACCTTTTTTAGTTCCACCTCCAGGGTTCATAGTCGGTCCAGCATTCCCTGGTAATTGTTTTATTTTGATGCCGATTGCTTTTACTCAAGATATTAGTGCTAGATGCTCTTTTTCATTTTTTTGCACCATGACGTTCATCTATCATTTATGTAATATACATGCTTTTCTGCTCCTCATAGATGATGTAGCCTGTTCTTGTACAGCTCTTTTTTTCCTATAGTTTTTGAACTCTTGCTGTCAAATTAAGTTTTGTTCAAGATGATCTCTACATGTCGTACAGGACAACCTATATGCTACTTTCCCATTGCACCTCCGGGCTCTCTCAGGGGACCTCATCCTCCCCGTTTTGTTCCATATCCAGTTAATCCAGAGGCTCCTGTGCTTCCCCAAGAGATACTAGCTTTGAGGGCTGGCATAGTAAGACAAATAGAGTATTATTTCAGGTAAGTAATGTTAAAAAGTGACTAACTTCTGGATTATCTCTTTCCATACATACTCAATGGGTTGAAAATTGCCTCAATTGACACCCTGAGGCTGAAAATCTCCTTCTTCCTTTAGATGCTGTTATTATGATGCATCAGCATCATTAATTTGACTGTTTTGTGCACATTTATAAAGGTGCGGGGATCTGCTTGCTAAGTGAAGACGCTTTAGCCTAAATTGGCCATCAAAGATATGATCGTTTGTGTGGGGTTCATAAGTCAAACTTACACAAATTTCTTCTTGTACTGTGGCCTTTTTATGCTTAATAATTGTTACCATTGGTGTTAAATGCCAGTGTTGTCTGTCTTTACGTACACTTATAACCTGAGCAATAGTAACCAAGCTTTCCACTGAAAACACCAAAATTTGGCTTTGGAACTTTTTATAGTGAACCGGCTACAAAAAGTTGTTCAATTTATGTTGTAAATGCAATAACTCAATTATGTGTTGACTGTTTTACATCTGTATGGCAGCGATGAAAATCTGCAGAATGACCATTATCTAATATCCCTAATGGATGACCAAGGATGGGTTCCAGTAGCCACGATTGCTGAATTTAAAAGGGTATGTTTTCTAATGCTATATGGTGTTCATACTTGTAGCAATGTGTGTTATGACAATCTCATTCTATCTACAGCTTTTCCAGGTGTCAGTTATTTCATTCGATATTGTGTGTAAAGTTATTATGCTATATTGCTCAATATATATCCACTTTCTTTATATCTTGAGTTGAAAAAAAAATTTGTTGGAGTAATACATATGATATTTTGTATCCCAGCTTAAGAAAATGACTACAGACATATCGTTGATCCTTGACGCACTGCAGAGTTCTGGCTCTATAGAAGTGCAGGTTTGATTTCTCCTTACCAATTGACTTTTTGCTTCTTACCGTAGGTGCATGCTGGCTGGGATGAATCTGGAATTTTTTTAAGGGATTTTTGCCTATCAATCGAGAATATGTTTGTATTTCTTATAAATGGATATTTTCTTGCATAATTTTCCGTTGGCATATCAGACAAAATTAAATTGTTGAAATGGTAAATCTATTTGAATGGTCCAAAGTGTTGACTTTATGATTAATAAAAAATTTCGTTACTGTTTACATGGGATCTGGTTTTAGCCTGTTTGCATTGTATCTGAAAATTTTTCCTAGTTGTGTTGGTTTCAGCCAAATTTGTGATGGAATTTTGGCAAATGTTCTGCATGCGATTTATGTGAATCAGAACATGTAGGGTATTTCTTGAATTATAGTTTAGCATTAAGTGGAGCCCACATTGATAACCTGGAACTTGGGAGTGTAAGATGCTCGGGTCTGTTAGTAATGAACAAGTTTCAAGTGCTTAATGTTTTTGGCCATCTATAATTACAACAGCATAACTGGAATTGTGGGATAGATTAGCAACATATGGTTCTTCTCTCATGCTTTGTTTCATTTTTTTAATGGTCTTCCCATTTTGTGGTTGGCATTGTATCAATAGGGAGACAAGATTCGGAAACGTGATGATTGGTCAAAGTGGATTCTGGCTTCTTCTAAGCAGGCAGTGGCACCGAAAGCTCAGACTTCCGAGGGCCAAGCTGGAGAGAATGCTGAAGAAGATGACACAAGCAGTTTCTCAAAAGGACTTGCTGAATTTTCTTCACACGCTACAGTCAAGGCTGCAAACAAATTGCCAAATGGAGATACTGGTAAAATGGAAGGTGATGGGAAGTCTGTCTTGTTTAAAGCTGGAAAACCAGGATGTGATGGGAATTCAGATCTTGGTGCTTGTCATAGCACTCCCCATTTAGACCATACACTAGGAACTGGGCCTCCGACATTCAATTATCATGGGTCTGAAGGCATGGAAGATGGACAAAATCTCGCTAATCTTTCTGGTGATTTTGCTAACACATTTATGCTTGATGAAGAGCTGGAGCTTGAGCAGAAAACACTCAAGAACGATGGCTGTTCTCCAGTTAGAAGGTATTGCATGGTCTCATATTTGTTTAGTTCTCTCCATCTTTGGTTTTATATCACTAGTTTCTTGCTAAGTATTATTTTAAATGTCAACTACTTACTGATCTCTATACAAGATGTTCTTTATGATACTTGAAGTCGGAAGGCTACATTCACATACATATATTTGATTTTAGATATTTTGTGGATTTCAATTTGGACTCCAGTAAAAAATTTGGCTCATGTTTACTTGTGGAGAATTTTTCAGCTTTCTAAAAACTGTGGATAACATACTAGTTCTTGGAAAACCATGTTTTGTATTTCTCCAATTTTCTTATAAAACTGGAAAACTACTAAATGTTGTTTCCCTTACTCTCCACTTCAGAAAAGAAGGCCCATGTTTGGTTCACCAGTTATTTAATCTCTCTATCATGTGTTATTTCATAAACAATCCAAACGCGGTCCTTGTTTTCTATTGTAGAAAACTATTTGCTGGTAAGCACGTTTTCTCAAGAAATAATTATAGAAAGATGAAAAGCAAGATGGAAATTGAAATTTTGATTTATAGAAGTAAACTTTATCCTTGCAATTTCAGGTGCTGCATAAGTGGTGTGCCGTTGGTCTCCATTAGTTTACTTGTAGTAAGTTTCTTCATGCAGACATGATTGATGGGGTTCAACATGGTTTCTCCATCTGCTAAATAGTCAGTTAGCTAATTTGTCTGAAATGGTTTTGGAATTTAGGTACTGGAAATTGAGAATGAGGGCTGCCATTTATGAAGTTAATATAAGTTTCAAAGTCATTTGCCAGTTTCGGAGGAGTAGGATAAGGGTTAGGGGCTTGCTATGATACTTCTAAATTTGCTTATTTTTCAAGAAATTCAAAACAATTTACTTACAGAGAGTCGAAAACAGAGAAGAAGAAATAAGAAGGAAGAACTGACATTGCTAAAGATGTGATGAGAAATTTGGTGAATGCATTGATCAAGTCCAGCAACCAAAAGTTAAGGAATTGGAGGCATCATATAGCTGGCTCCTTGATCTTGATTGGCTAGATGAGGAACTATTAGAAAATGGAAATAGTAGTGAACTAGCCCTACTTACCAGCGGCAATTGACATACAAAGCAAATGTTCGTTTATGAAATTAACAACAGAAAGTAGGAACTTTGAGGGACTGGTCTGCCTGGGACTGCATTGGTAAGAAACTGGTTAAAAGAACCAAAGGGATTACCTTGCTAGGAGTCTTAGTTATTGCACCTAAGAGAAGGATGCATCTCACATCCAATTAGTATCACATCTCAATCTCACCACAAAGCACTAAGTTTAAAATATCTTACTCAAAACTTTCCCTTAAAGAAATATATGTAGCTCTAAGTGTCATGAGCCCACCTTTTATCTTGGGCGATGCTGCACCCTGGACCACCTACATCGTCCCCTCTGTGGCCCTCATGGTCTTACTTCCCCACCTCTGTGGGAGAATGCCTCCCTCATGACTCGAACCTTAGACCTCCCATACTGCATAAGAGGTGTAAAAACTAAAGATGAGTATCAACTGAGCTGTCAGCATAAGTTCTTAGACTGTCATGTGACCTATTTTCAGATGCCCAAATATCAATAAAGATTTCCTCCAGTCTGTCATGTGACCTTGCATTATTTTGAAACATCCATGTAGAGGCAGTCTTGATGTTTGAAGAAATCTCCGTTTATCATACCAGAATAATTATGTTCTGTTAATCAAACTCATCCTTTCAGTTCACACGGACCTTATATGTAGATGTAAACAAAAGCAACAGGTGGTAGTTTCAATTGTTGGATAAAAGGACACTTTAAAGAAGAGAAAGATTAGTGAAGGAACGGATTTTTTTTTTCATTAAACATCTATTGATACATAGAATAAGGCGCATTATGTAGGCACCAAGAAATCCTAGGTAGGAAATAAAATCCCTCACAACGATAAAATTCTGATATACTTGCTATTCCTGTGATAAACTCGTTCTTTTAGTTCACTCGGACCTTATATATAGATGTAAACAAAAGAAACATGTGATAGTTTCGATTGTTGGATAAAAGGATACTTTTATTGAGAAGAGAATGATTAGTGAAGGAAAGGATTTTTTTTTCAATTAAACACATGTTGATACATAGAATAAGGTGCTTTATGTAGGCACCAAGAAAACCTAGGTAGAAAATAAAATCCCTCGTAATGATAAAATTCTGATACACTCACTATTCCTTATTCAGTGAGCATCCTTATTCAGTGAGCATTGAGCATTGCACGATTTGAAACTGCACTTTTCTGTTTTCCAGGATTGATGATGAAGAGGATGAGATGGTGGTTAATGATCAGGATGTTCAAAGACTTGTGATTGTCACCCAGGTATAGACTATTTACTGGCAAGTTTCTATTATTATTGTTATTGTTCTTTTGAAATGCTAGTTTTGATTTGCATGAAAGAATAATTATTCATCCTTAGGGATCTCCTTGCTTTTTTTCAATTACAATGTTCAATGTCTGCTTAGACCATAGCAACATGTGGACATATTTGTGTAGATGTATGAATGTGATTATGTGAGAATTTGGGCGTTTTTGCTGCTCTATGTTGCATATTAGAGTTTTCATTTTGAATAGTGTTTTCTCTTTTGAAGGAAGCTGATTGTTTTCTCAGCATTTTATACGCCATGCACATGCCTTTTTATCATTTTGCAAATTGCAGAATAATGTTACATTTTTTATTCTTACAAATTGTAGCTGCTTCTCAACTCCTTGCAAGTTAGTGATACCCTTTTCACTTCATGTAGCTTGTAAGTCATTTACCTTAGAGAGGTGCATTATTTGGGTTTAACTGAATTACTGAACTGAAATGATGATGTATATTGCTCAATTTAGGTTTATCTTATTGATAGTTTTACTTTTCTCTGTTCTCAGCTGTCAGTTAGTTGCATGATGGTTTTTTCCATAGTTTGGTCCTCTACATGCATGCACTCGTGTGAATGCATGCATATATTATGTAGGCAATATACGAGCATGAGTTGGACCATCGATCTGGTAACATTTTTATGACTTGTGGGCCTTTTCTGCACAGAATAGTAGAGTAGGAGAAGGATCTACTAAATCTGGGGGTACAGAATCAAAATCTATTTCAACAGAGCTTGCTTCTGCAATAAATGATGGTTTATACTTCTATGAGCAGGTTGAGACTTCTGTTATACTCATGTTCATAATTAATTAAGTTGCAATACTTCGCTTTCGTTTTATTTGGAGATTCCCAATGGTTGTCTAAAAATTCTTAAAATGTGACTCGTACTGGCAGGAGCTCAAAACCAAGCGATCTAATCGTAGAAAGAATAGTTCTAGCTTTGAGAACAGAGATGGATATTTAAGACTGACAAATGGTGCTTCCCTAGTATCAAATTCAAAGGCTGGTGAAAATTCTGCTGCAAGCTGTGGCCATGAAGAGTCGGGAAGCTCTAACAGCGCAAGGAAACAAAATAAAGGTTTTCCCAAGCAGCAGTCATCCCATAAGCAACGGTTCTTCTCCAGCAACTTTAGGAATCATGGCACTGGTCGCAATAATTTTGGGATCATATCAGAAAGTCCGCCAAGTAATTCGGTTGGATTTTTCTTTAGTTCTACGCCTCCTGAAAATCACGGGTCAGTTTGCAGTGACTATGGTCTTTGCCTAAGCCTCTTATTTCTATTGTCCTATTTTTTCTTTTTTTCTTTTTGTTAATATATGGTAGCACTATTATAGCATTTTTTCTTTAGGTTCTGAGAATAATATGGCATTGATTACTAGTTTTATGAGTTTCGATATTACTTTCGATTTGCTAAGTAAACATCTGAGTCATCTGACTAGTTATTTTGCATCTGAATCCTAATTTCATAGACCCAGGTCTTCAAAGCTGAGTGTTTCACCGCGTGGCATGCTCTCAGGCAGCAGTCCACCAGTGGGTTCCATGCCAAAGTCATTTCCACCATTTCAGCATCCGAGCCATCAACTCTTAGAAGAAAATGGCTTTAAACAGCAGAAGTATGTGTGTGATTTTTAGGATGGGGGAATATGTGGATTCATAGGGAAAGGTTGCTGACCTGTTTCTCTTCCCTTTTAGGTACCTGAAGTATCGTAAGCGGTGCTTAAATGATAGAAAGAAGATGGGAATAGGCTGCAGTGAGGTGTGTTTCTTAAATTTATCTGATACATATTTATTGACTAAAGGAGAAAAATAATGTTAGGTTAATTTGAGACGTATCTGATGTGCTGCAATGGGATTTTTCCCATCTTTCATTTTCTAAATCCCGTCCATTCTTATTCCACTAGCTGATTTTTGTTTTTTATTCAGTAAGTACTCATACTTCCATGAGGAACATATGGTCTTCTCTAAGCACAAGATTGCATGGTGGCAATCATGCAATCTATTTGGTTAATGTTAATTCTTATATTAAAGGTTATGGCTCTTTGTGCTAGCTAATGGGTTTTTAAATCACTAATATGGGCATCTGGGCATGTCTTGTAGTCAAATTTTCCTTATTGGATCACTTGTCCTGTTTCCAATTGTTGAATGTTGGCACATTATCTTAACAAGATGTGATTCGATTATTTGAGTCCAATGTGATTTTTCTTTCAATCCTTTTTCCATGCAGGAAATGAATACGCTGTATAGGTTTTGGTCATACTTCCTTAGAAACATGTTTGTTCCTTCAATGTATAACGAGTTCCGAAAATTTGCTTTGGAGGATGCATCTGCTAATTACTATTATGGGATGGAGTGCCTTTTCAGGTTCTATAGGTATTGTTGATAAATATTACTTTTGATATTTTTGTATATTGGAGCTTCCATCTAAGAGTTATTGCTCTTTACGTGAATCACCATTCTTCAAAGTTATCTTTTCCCTACTTTAGGGAAAGAAATAGCTACTTATAATGCATGTTGTGGCTTGGATGCTATTATTGATATGCTCGCTTTTTTCAATTGTTTCCCATTTTCAGTTATGGTTTGGAGAAGGAGTTCATAGATGACTTGTACAAGGACTTTGAAGAACTCACCCTTGACTTCTATCATAAAGGCAATATTTATGGCCTTGAAAAATATTGGTAATAGTATTTGATTTTTTTTTTTTTTATTATTTTTACTGAGTAACGTGTTTTTGGTTGCCTATTCACAGGCATGCATACCTAGCATATCATATTATTGTTCATGGAATCTCACAAATACATTGGTCAGCTGATACCATTTGGTAGAATATGCAAACATAGGAAAGCGAGCTACAGAACAAAATTGTTCTGATACGTTTCAACAAATTTCATCTGAAAATTACTTTGATTTAATGCTGGATCTACTTACAGGATCAGACCTTCATGGGAAAATTGCCTAAAATACAATCTTGTTGCAATTGTGAAGTTAAAGGCAAAGATATAACATAGCCTGATGTTTGACCCAATAGAGCAACAACAACCAGATTCTCTTACGATTTAGATGCTTGTGTTTCCACTGAAATTTTGCTGCGCTGCATGTATTTGCTTTAATAGACCTACTTTTCTGCAATCAGGGCCTTCCACCATTATTGCCGTCTGGGTGACAAAGAACCAAAGAAACATCCAGAATTGGACAGGTTACTGAGAGAAGAATATTGTAGCTTGGAGGACTTCCGTGCCAAAGAGAAGTCCATGAAGAAGGAAAGTCATTAGCCTGCCGTAGTGACCATTTTCTGGTAACATCCTCGCAATTTTGATAATCACTTGAGACGAGAAGGGAGTTGAAGTTAGCAGCACGTGTTTGGTTTGGACGCAGGGAAAATATGGTTTTTGTAAATTGTATACTGGGGGAATCACTTGCACCTTTTAGGGCTGCTGACTACTGAGGTTTTTTTTCCCTTTCTTTTTTGAGGTTCTGGGTGCCGGATATATCCTTTTTGGTGTTGTCTGCGAGTTAGGGAGGTGCTTGCGCTTTTTCTCCATTGCTTCGTATCCTCCCTATGTTGTAACTTGTACATATGGAAAACTGAAAAAACTGAAAAAAACTGAAAAAAAAAAAAAAGAAGAAAAAACACAACAGAAATTGCTGTAGTGTCCTTGTGAAAATTGAAGAATAAGATGTTGGAAATTTATTTCTTATTTAATAATTGATCATTAGAATTTTATGTTGTCTGTTTTTGTGATTGCCTTTATTTTCTTTCATACTGTAATGTTGGTTTCGAATGAGTTCTTACGCCATCGGAACCTGTGTCAGAGAGTTGTCGTTCTGATCTGATGTTTTTGCAAGGTTTCTGTGCCCAAATAAACCTAAATATCCTTTGACCAGTCTTTGAGCAGGGGAAAATGTTCGTAGTATGGATATGATGGTAAGGATGCATCATGTATTCATCTTCAAAGTTTCAGCTTATCTATGGGTAATACCCTAAGAATTCTGATTCAAATTGAGTTAAGATTGATTTGATTTGGAGTTTTTTTACCATAGATACGTTTCAATCAAGCAATGACATGTATGAGAAATTGGACGAAGTGAAAACCAAATTATACGTTGATGGGATCAAGATCATGGACAACGAAAGGAATCAAAGCTTTTTCTTTTGGCAAAGCAAGGTACCATCAAGAACTCTTCTTTCGACAAAGAGAGATAATGGAAGGCATCTAAAACATTTTTTCAGACAGGCAAGATACAAAGTTCCTATTGATTTACTAACAATTTTTCGTTAGTCTATAGACAGCAACCTAAAGAAGGAAGAGAAGAGAATGAAGAACAATCAAAACTACTCTTTCAGAGCTCTAAAATGAATGAATCTCCTTCTTAATCCAGCCTTCTTTCGACGTCAGTGGAGGAAACGCTGCGCACACTAGTGGATGTGCTCCTGTCTGCTCTCTATGTGAAGAAAATAACATTACGTTTCGTTTCACCTCTATTATTTCCAAATGTTTCATAGCATTTCTATCTTGTCAAAAGTTGCCGAAGTGAATATGGGTTAGTTAATCTTTTCATTCGCCATGGAGGAGATGTTGAAGAGGGCGGGTTCACTTGCGGCTCAAAGCATCAGTCTGGCATGGGGATTCAAGGGGAAGCTGGATAAGCTGAAGGAGTCATTGATCATGATTCAAGGTGTGCTACAAGATGCTTAAAAACAACAAGTAACAGAAGTGTCTGTGAGGCGCTGGTTGGAGAAGCTTCAAGATGTAGCTCATGATTCTGAAGACGTACTAGATGAGTCGCTTACGAGTTCTTCGGCAAAAGGTAGATTGTAGGGTGTTGGAGAATATTGTTGCATTTCCTGATGATGAACTTCATTATCTTGGAAATTAATTAGCAGGAAATTTTTTAAATAATGTTTAATGTTATATACGCAGGGTCTAGTTGGTTGGATCTGAAGTGGGCAACAAATGAGGATCCAAAGTGGTTGATAGAACAAAGAAAAAACTGAGGTCAAGGTTATAGAAAAAAACGGATTTCCCAATATTATTCAGATTTACGTGCACACACACAAGGAAAATGCTCCTAAGTCCTAATCGAGTGCTGTACATCAAAGTTTGCAGAAGCATGAATATTCATTACAAAAAATCGCATTTAAAAACAAGTGAGCCAACAGTCTGAAGTCTTGTAATAAGGCTGATGATTGATTTTTAAGTCTAAAGTTAGGAAGACTGAAATTCTGCGATTAATGGTTCAGCTGTTACAGGGAGCTGGAATGTGTAAGACATTGTACAGAAAGTCATATCTACTTATCATATATACTATGTGCAAGGATGGTAATTAGGCTGACTCGAGCAAAGCCATAACTTACCTTCTACGCAGACCGCAACTGCCCAACTTTTCTTTTTAAATTGGTATTGGATCCACATGATTCTCTTCTCCAGCTGATCAACGCGTTTAATGACCTCTTTCTCCATCATTTCATTTACCAACAGTAATAGAAAGGGGGAGGGGAAGGGAGAATTAGGAAACGTCGAGACCAAAGGAAATGAGAGCTTTCGAATGAATCGACAAATCAAGCCCTAATATAATAAAGGGTAAACCTTTTTTCTTTTTTTCTCCAATGGTTAAGATATTATCGAACTTAAGAGCACACTCCTCATATCAGTTTAGTACATTTCCATGAAGTTAGTAAATCTTCCTGACCTAGATTTAAACTCTTTAAAATCATGAAAAGAGCAAATTTTCTCGTTAAGAATGACAATGGATCAAATATAAAATGGATATATGCTCTACTTGATTTAATAAATATTTATTAAAAATACCCAATCGGAATTTAGGCAGATAAAAGTTTTTAAAAAAATAATAATATTTGTTAATACATTTTTGGGTTATAGATACTGACTTCAAATACTAATAATATCCATTAATGTTTTTTAAAAAAAAACATAAGATAAGATATAAATTTAGAGATACGATTGAACAAACTTTATAAAGTAGTGATCAAATTGTTTTTTATGAAAAAATTGAGGATGCAAAAAATTATAAATAACGACTAAATTGTAAAATATTAATTTTAAGAACCAAATAACCCTTTTTTTAATTACAAGAACTAAAAAAATTGATAAATCGTTTTTAGCTAATATTAAATAGGTATTAAATTAAAAGGTAAATTGAATATGGATCGGATACAAATTTATATGATAATTATTTAACGGGTGTTAGCAGGAGTTTTTTAATAAATAGGATAAGTGATTGAATTAACACACCGGCACCCAACTCATTGTGATCCGTACACCAGGCCAATCCTTTGACGTAAACCATTTCAAAAGAACAAAAAAAAAGATTGGGAAAGTGTCAACTTTTTCAAAGAGTGGGAAGGTTAAAAATCTCGTATATGTGTATGTATGTATGTATGTATATGAGAATTTTTTTCTTGTTTATTAAGATATCATTCTAATTCCTTCCTCAATTTCCACTTCATTCAATCCTTCATTCCTAAATTTAAATTCAGTTTCAGTTGGTTTATTGATTTTGTTTTTTGTAAAATTGTGTAGCAGTGTAATAAAATCCTGCAATTGATAAGAATTCTAATACTAGAAATCCGCTTTTTCTATGGAGAAATACTTCAAAATAAATTAATAATCCACATACAACAGATGTGCCTAAATACGTACTAGGATATAAGTGAATCCAAGTCATAAATAAAAACTTAATTGACTGTGATTTGATGAAAAACAATTTCCAAAAACGTTTATATAGTTAGGCAAAGCAAAATGGTAACTGAAAGATTTATTTAAAAAATATATATATATATTGGTAAATAAGATATCAAAAAATGGTAATTAAGAGAAAATCTGGCATCAAATCGCCATTAATTTATTCACACAATCTTCATTAATTCCCTTAATTTGTTTAACTTTCCTTAGTTTCCAAGATGACCAGTGCTAGCTTTCTGCCAAAAAAGCCTCTTCAAATTAATTCTCTCCATAAATAGATTCATGCATACACATTCCAGGGATACAGTAGCTGTATACGAGAAATTTTATTACATACAATATAGAAAGTTAGATATAAAGAGAGAGAAATAAGAAAAAAATTCGAGCTAATTGAAAATATTCTTATCGTTTTTTTATGGATTCTCATATGATTTTTTTCTCTCTCCTTGCAATAGATCCATAAAATAAATATCCATAATTTTTTACAATTTCTCGTTGTATCCTATTTCATAATATTTATAGTTTTGCAAAAACCCAAAACAAAAAAACAAGAAGAAGAAAGGTTTGAGAGGAAAAATATTGTAGAGTACTGACAATGAAAAGTTTAAGGAAATTGATGGTAGTGTTGATGATAGTGGTTGCGACAGTAGAAGTGGTGAGTGCTTCGCTTGTTTATGTAGGAGGAGGGAAAGAAACATGGAGACCTAACGTTAACTTCACTGAATGGTCTGCTCGTCAACAAATCTATGTCGGAGACTGGCTCTGTAAGTTTCCTACTATCATGTAATATCTACTCAAAATAATCCCATGCATTTTTTTTTTTTTGTTCATGTTCTTTCTCGGTTTTTTTTCCGTCCTATCCTTCAATTTGAGATGCGTAAATCTAATTTTTAGATCAAAAGCTAGCATGCAACTGATAGTATTTATCTTTAACTTGAAAAGATTGATCTTAATTCTCTTGAAATATTAATATGCATATTTAATTTAAGATTGGTATATCTATATCCATTTTTTTTTTTTTTGGGTAAATCTATAACCATTGTTATGTTAAGTAATTTTAGTTTTCATGCCTCAACAAAATTGAAAGACTCTACACTGGTTAAGGAAAAAAAAACTACATTAGCAAGGAGGTTGCAAAAAAATTTGGTTCAAATGCATTTTTTGGAGTTTTTCTTTTCTTTTTTGTGCCACCACTGAACATCATCCTAGATTGGCAAGTTTGGAATTGTGTATGATACATTTTGTACTGGAATTTGTCTCTTTTTCTGTCAAAGATTTTGGATTCGACAAGAATCAATATAATGTTTTTGAGGTGAACAAGACAAGCTATGAAAGTTGTAATAACTTGGGCTTTATCAAGAATATCACAAGAGGAGGTCGAGATGTCTTCCAAGTGAACGAGGCAAAAACATATTATTTCATCGGTGGTGGTGGCTATTGTTTTGGAGGAATGAAAGTTGCCGTCAATGTTAAAAAAATTCAACCTGCTTCACCCCCATCTCCAACACCTGGTCCCAAAAATGCTTCTCCATCAAAATTTGGTGGCCATATCATTACTGGATTAATGTTTGTTCTTACAAGTCTTTTCCTGTCTTGGCCAATCCTTTAACCCTCCAAGAATCAAATACATTATTTTATTTGTTGTAGGGATTCAAATTGATTTTTTTTTTCTTTAGTGCTTGATGATCGTGGACATTGTTTCGAGCTTTAGGGCATGCGAAGACTCTTTTTTTCCCCTCTCAATATAATAAATTGATTTAATTATGCTTACTTTAATATTTTGTTCACTAGTTTGTTCTTCAACATTTTGATTTAATATCAATCCTAATTTCACTCATAGAAATGATTTAATTTATGTTATGCTAAAGTTCATAAATGGATAAAAGAGTTTAATTAAATTGCTTATGAATCACAAATGCAATTCAGTTCTTTTTTTTTTTCCCCTACGAAAAAGAGACTTGCACATCACAGTGTGACAACTGACTTCTCAAGTTTTAAAGAATAATGTAGTAGTCAGCTATGGCAGATGAAGCAAGAAATTTTGACTTCTACTTCCCTTTGTTGCAATTTTTTTTTTTTTTTTTTTGGGGACTAGCGCAGGGTGATCATATGGATTATCGTGGTCCAAAAAATAATGTTAATTTTATGGAGATGTTCTTCCGAAAATTAAAATTCCTTCCCTTATAATAAGAGTGGATTCCATTCGTAGATATCGCAAATCCAATGGTTATAATCTTTTCCGAGATGATTTCGAAAAAAAAAAAATCGGTAAAATTATCGATTCAATTGAGAACTATATTAATTAATTAAGTTGGGGGATATTTGGATGTGAATTGAGAAGTACATGGGTGAAAGTGTGTAACTATAAAATGTGTTTTAATTAGTTTCTTGATGATTAGCTACAATAAGAACTTCTCGTTATTAGGTTAGAGAAGGATTTGTAGTCCTGTTAATTAATATACTGATATTCATTTCTAGAAAAATACTATACTATTATAGCCCATGGAATATTGGTGATCAAGGTAAGTCTATCACAACTTGTTCATGCTAAATGGACCGTCGCCAACTAGTACTGGCTTCAATATTTGCATGTTCTGGAACTATTTCATTCTTTCCCCGATTTCTAGCGCTCATGGGAGAAGAAAAGGATAGCAAAAATGGAGGTTTTTAGTCTGAAGAAAATGCTTCTGTGGCTGATGACTCTGGTGATCATAGTATCGAGTACTGCAGAGTGCAGAGAGCCAGTTCTCCATAGAGTTGGAGGAGGAAAATATACTTGGGCACCAAACGCGAACTTCACTGCATGGGCTATGCATGAAACTTTCTATGTAGGAGATTGGCTTTGTAAGTAATTTTCTCACTTTCCTGTTCCGAATTTCTATTTTCTTTTCATCTATCCATTTTCTTTAATGTTAATGCAACTTGGTTTTCTGCTCTGTGAAAGACTTCGGATTCGACAAAACCCGCTATAATGTTCTGGAAGTGAACAAGATGAACTACGACAACTGCAGTGACAGAAACTTCATAACAAACATTACAAGAGGTGGCCGAGATGTGTTCAATCTCACAGTGGCAAGGCCATATTACTTTCTTAGTGGCCATGGGTACTGCTTTAAAGGAATGAAACTTGCTGTCTATGTTCAATATGCTCCTCCTGATCCTGCACCGTTAGTGTTCAGAAATGGTTTTCCATCAAAGACTAGCTATAGCTATAGCTATGGCTTCATTATGCTCCTTTCTCTAGTCATTGCCTATGCTGTGATAGGCTAGCAGCTAGGTCCTCCCACTACAAGTGCATGTTAAGCCATTGGTCAGTAGGATTTTTAGTATTAGTTTAAGAAATAGGGTTTGGAAAGCCGAGTAGTTTGTCTTTGGAGATTGGAGAATAAAACGTGACGTCTTGGTAAAAATGAGTTCAAGCAGATTATACTTGCACGCATTTGTGAGGCTTGATTTGGTGGTTTATTGTGAGGAACTTGTCTTATTTAATGTGCTTTGGGCCTTTCGGCATATTTATATCCCTTCATCAAACTCTTCCATAGGACAATATGTGATCCAGAGAGAACTTATCGTAAGAATTTCACCCAAACATGCATTTATGTTTATTTCATGGAGAAATATTTTATCAATAGGCGTGAAACAACTAATTTTACTCTTAATTCGGCTAACTACAAAAATAACCATATTCAGGGAATTTTACATAGAGAAACCATATAAAGCAGCAGTTCATAAAAGGGGAGAAAGCAGACTAACAAAGTCAAAAACAGAGGCATCCATTGCCGATTAATCTCTGAAAATTGAAAACTTTTTGATCCTCCGTATCATTCTAATGATTACAAGATACATGAAAGAGCTGCATTTTAAATTCATTAGATTCTTTTTCTTTAAAATCAAAAATTCATTAGATAACATCACATACAAATTTGCCTTAATCCCTGGGAACACTTGCAAATTTGTTGTTTTCAAGTTGCTTTATCCACCGCTCAAAATACCACAACCACACTGCCTTGAGCAAAATACTTTAAAAGACAGTCAATTTGCGACATTCAGAACGAAATTTTAACAATTTCATTCTGATTTCTGCAACTCTAATCAACCAAACCTGCCAATGTCTCAGTAACAAAGGAAAAACCAGTCCAGGCATAGTCGAGGAGGATGAATTGAGAAAACACCATTTATTCCTGGAGGTTTAAGACAGACAAATTTCTTGCATGCATAATGCAACATTAACCGCTAACAAAATACCATCTAACCCACCCAGGATGGTGTTGTAGGCAGACACTATGCACCTAAGGTACCAGATTTGCTTGCTGACATTGTGCTCAGAAACATTGACTGCAGAAAAAGCAAACTGTGATAAGCCATCAGCAAGTAACCATACCTGGAGGCAGTGTCCAAAATAGTCCAAAATCAAGTCAAACGGCATCACTACGCCTGGATGCAGTACCACATCTTTGCCTAACCAAAACATACTGAGATCCAGCAAGGCTGCATCAAGTTCAGAAACCCTAAATACCTGCTGCTGCTGCCTACATAGTTTTATTTACATATGCAGAGTAAAAAGGCTGGCATGCTCAACAAAAGAACATGGAATTGCAAACTTTCTCCTGCAACTTTGGCAACTGCAGGACAGGAACAGCTCCGGCAGAGGTTACCCCACCATGGCTTGAAGATGTCTCAGATGTGTCCTCAAACTTCATAAACTGGCCCATTTGAGTGGCTGCCAGGTGGGCATAGCAAATTGGAGCAACTACAGAAAAAGCAGAACAATTAGATTTGGATAAACTAAAAATGAGCAGGTTTCAAAAAGCAACAGTTTCTCCTCCCCTTTCTGATCACACTTGAGTACAGGCAACTCAATGACTAAAAATAATTGTTGTCTCGGTACAAGTCTATAAAATGCAACAGCTTGGTGATACTGGGTGCAAAAAATGTTGGATCCAACAAAAAATTTCCTCCAAAAGGTGGCACATATTAAATGAACAACATTCTGAAACTTTAAAATCAGAACTCAGCAAACAGAATGGTTATTCAAACTACCATAAACCACACCAAAATAAAGAAGTATGCTTACCAACAGAGATGGCAGTTGTGCTTCTTTGGTACCTGCAATGCCAGTGACAAACAAGATTCAAGTATGGTAATAGCTGCTAAAGCTCATAACATATCATTAAAACATATTACAGCTAAAAATAAAATTCTACTTACACATATGACAAGGAATGCACAAGTTCCTGCAGATCATCTGCTGAAAAACCAATCTCGTCTAATAAAACATGGTAGTGAGTAGGCCTCGTAGTTCCCTGGACAACAAAGCATGATCAAAATAGCAGAACTTAGCACATATTAACAAGCACCGCAGGCATACATGTGGAAAAACAGTTTATATAGAATAACACCAAAATTATTTGGTCACGAAGTTCCATCAAAAGCATGCAACCTAAATTTCCAATTAACAGTGAAAACAAAACGAGAACTCTGTGATGAGTAAAACTTTCAAACCATTGACGATTGAAAACCAATGAATAAAACTCCCTTCAAAGAAATAAATATTTTGGAAATTTTTCCTATGCATGACACATTGAGCAGCCAGAGAGAGTGAGAGAGGGTATTCCCTGTATTTGAATTGCTGTTAAGACGCCTCACTACTCAGAACAAAGGCAAAACTGCAGATAACAAATTTAGTTTTACTTTTGTAGAAAATCACAGGATGACCAAGATTTTTTGAAATCTCTCCTATTTATATAAACACCTTTACTGCAAGAAAAATTTCCCAATGCTTGTCATTTCATGGCTACATATTCAAGTACCAAATGGACAAAAACCACTGATTTAGGCAATAGAATAAATGGAGGAAGAACATATGAAACATCACACTCAGAGGTTGGTGATAGATGCAATGTCATGAGCAGAAGATTTTGGGGGATAGATTTGAAAGACTGAAAACAAAAGGCAAACGTTATTATGAATTCTTCGTTAATCCATTCTAGAAGTAAAAATGTTAAAAGAACATTCAAGTTTGGGATTTTGCCACACCACCCATTTATACCGGCACAACTTAAAGGCACTGAAATCCACTGTTGAGAAGCATATAAGAGGTGCTGTTATAATGAAAAGCTGTGGAAAAATCACCACCCAACTTTAAAGGATAATTTTCAGCAATGAAATGCAGGAGGGTTGCTGACCTCATGCATGGAAAAACAAGGTGTAACAGTTACAAATGAAACCTAACAAGACAGCACATTCTTGAAGCCGAAGAAAAGCACGTTCAAGAATTTTCAACAAGCTCTCAAAAGGCAGGTATCAATTTCTATTGAAAACTAGCTTTATATTGACACTCACAATCATTCCTGCATGAGCACAGAGATAGAAGTCATTGTTTCTTGGATGGCAGACTTTATTATCAATAACCGTTCCTGAAAAGAAAACATACATGGTCATTTCAATATCAAGACTCGCCCAAACCAAGTCAGTGGAATTATTTTTGAAGTTTACCAGGTGGAACATTATCAGGAGACCCAGGCTGAAAAATTTAGTGTGGTGATTTTTCTGAGCTACAATCACCACGAACTTTGGGGACCACTTCTCATCAAGAAACTTGCATGCCTGGAAAATTAAAAATAAAAATTGATAACCATGAAAAAAAACACGGTCCACAATACGTTGTCGAGCATAGAATTAAATGGAAGGGATTTGAATTAAACCTCAATTATCTGATCCAACTCAATATTCAAGACCTGATTGAATTGTGATTCGCTGACCCCATCCCTATACCAAAAAATAATGTTGAACAAGACTAGGAGTGTAGATGCATGTACAATACAACACGACATCCACAAGAGTTCTATCCGCATGTAAGAGAATAAATCTATTGATGTGATCTACATTCCAATATTCATCCAAAACTTGATTGCAGGAGTGTATGGGCACACTCAGGTAAAGCTGTAATTGTAATGACATGACACTTCCATATATCTCACAAAATTTATCATGCAAGCAAACAAATTGTAATGACATGACACTTCCGACCATCTCCTATCTCCTACAACTCGGTAAGCAATATACATGCAAATGCAAACCAGTAAATACACAATGAGAAAGACAAGATTTGCACAAAACCTTTTTGCCACACTATCATTTGCCAAAGAGAAATGAGACATACAAAAAACTACAACGTCACATCTTCATCTCCATTAACACAAACCAATGCATGTGATAAATTATTGAAATAATAGCTCCCAATTGAAGATCATATAAGTTATGACAGTGTGAGGATAGGAATAAGCATCAATTATGAACATTCCATCCGAGGGACAACCACTAATTTCACAGCAAAACATTCTAAGATAAGCAAATTTATCATCTACTAATGCAAAAGTGTCAATACATGCAGATAAAAATAAATGTCTGACATCACCCATAGATAAAACATTCTAAGATAAGCAAATTTATCATCTACTAATGCAAAAGAGTCGATAGCTGCAGGTAAAAATAAATGTCTGACATCACCCGACAATAAAACATGTGCAGAAGTCCTTATCCGGGTATATAATTTCCAAAAAAATCAAATATTTTGCTTTCAGAATTTGTCATCTTAAACTAGCAAAAGTACAATTTAGCGAAAAAGATTGGATAAGACAAATCATAGGATAAACTTCCTCACTGCCAAGTTTAGAAAAGATGTATACCTGAATATGATGATCTGGTCAGGTTTCCTTTTTCCTGAAGTCACATAAAAGTCTAACAGAAGCTCCCTGGATCGTAAGTGAAATGCATATATTATTAAACTAGTTTAGTTTCACATGAACACGAAATTAAAAGAATTGATCAGCATTTTTACTTCCAACAAACTATACAAAATTGTTAAACCACCCAAAAGCTCTCCGCCCTTATTAAAATAAACAGGTAAACAGCATTAAAATAGCAAATCCTACCTAATAATTCCTTCATCCTCATTCTCAGTGTCAGACACTCGCTTAAATAACGAATCAATCATCTCAAGCTTTGGGGACTGTGTTCGCACACATGCCCTATAACGAGAAACCAATGGCCACTGCCTGGAGCTGACAACCTACGGATTCCAACAACAGATATCCAGATCAGGAGAGAAATGTTACAAAGAAATTGTGGAAGAACTTTCTAATAGCAGAAATTTAATTTTACAAATTTATGACAACAAAAATACCATCCATAACAGGAAATCCCATAAAACCCAAAGACTAGTACCGCAGCAATTGATGGGACATCAGACTGCCCAGGAGAGCCATGGGACACATCCATCCCAAGGATAAGTGTAGGAACCTTTGAAACAATAGGTATAGAGGGGGAATGTTCCACAACCAACATAGAGTTCAATCCGCCGAGCTGCAAGGAATTGAGCAGATATAGTGCACTGTCGGATTACCAACTGGACAATATATCCTAAAAGTTGCTAAAAATAAAAGAAAAGTGCAATCCAAATTGAACTCAAAACAAGAAAGACAAAGGGGCATATGATGTCTTGAGAAAACAAATTAATGCCATTACTCACCTTTGCATTGATCTTCAAGAGAACATTGGTAATATATTGGTCATTGACTCTTTGAGGAGCAATGCACTGAGTGACAATTCCAAATTCAGCAAGATTTTTGCGTTTCCATGGACCTTGAGAATTCAGTATCCTCTAATCATCAGGAAAGGAAAAGGTACATAATCATTGTATATCGAAGATTTAATGACCAACCATATAAATCAGAGTTCTTTCTCTCAGGAAGCAAGCACAGTAGGAACTTTGGTGCCCCAGGAAGTTTAGACTGAATATCCTCAAACATTTTCTCAACTCTAACCACTGGGGGGCACGTCTTAATTGTGGATTCTCCTCAAATACATCAAAAGGTGCTTCGATGGGCTACAAAACAGGAGGAAGGGGAACAGATTTGCAGTCAATTGCTAGATTATGAGCGTTATTAATTAATACAAAATGATGAAACTTACAATTCCTTTCATCTCTGCACATTTTGTGAGATTTTGAACAAGGTTGCGTATATCACAGCGAGCTGAGAAGTTCACAACAGCCCATCTTTCGATCTTACTAGGCTCCACAAGTTTCTTCAGAAGAATTTTGTAATAATGTGAGAAAAAGAAATAAGAATCACAATCAGGAGGAAAGGCTAACAATCACCTTATTATTGAAATTCCAACGACCATTTCTTGGGAAGAAATCTTCCCCATTGCCAACTTTTAGCTGTAAATGAAAGAAAGATATTAAAAGAATCTCCACCACTTCATGGCAACAATGACCATCATAATTATACCCCAAGAATACATTAAAATTAAATAAAAACAAGACAAAGCTACACTGCTAGAAGTCTTTTCACACTCTTAAATCCTTTCCGCTCTTTGGAATTGGAAATGTCAAAATTAATATATATACACCATAAATATGCATACCCTTGGAGCAGGCAGAACACGGCCTTCCACTTGAGTGAAGCTGGGACTGATTGATATGCCAGACGAGCGTAGCATAGGTTCAGCATCATACTTGCTTCTTTTAAGAGCCTGCAAGAAGACTGATTTAAAGACAACTTAACAAACTCAAGAATCATGCAAGTCGAGATTAGAGAAGATATGCCTACATTAGATAAAACAGTCATCCTTTCCTGTGGCTTCTGCCTTGATTTTTCCACCAGCGAAGACCTTTGAAGGGTCGACAGAGCTTTGGTG